TTACTTTTAAGACTATTATAAGCTAATTAGTACTAAGCCTTTAAGGTATTATCCTTTAAAGGTATTATAGTAAGCCTTTTATAGCTATAAGTTATAAGGCTTTATAAGTCTTATAGCTATTAAGACTTCCTTATAGCTATAATCTTATAAAAGCCTAAGCCTTTATAAATTTATTACTATTTTATTACTTTTAAGACTATTATAATTAATTAGTATACTTAGTATTAATATAGTATTAGTATAATATACTTAATACTAGTATAATACTAATATAATATTAGTATAGTATACTTAGTATTAATATAATACTATTATAGTATACTTAGTATTAGTATAGTATTTAGTATACTTTAGCTAGTAGTCTTTTATATATTCTATAGCCTTTAGGATAAGGCACCCTTATTAAATATAGTTTATAGTATAACTTTTATTTTCTATAAAATTTATTTATATAGGTTTTTAAGTTAAATTACCTTATAAATAAAAAATAGAAAATATAGTAATTATAAAGCCCCCTATATAGTAATAAAGCCCCCTATATAGTAGTAAGCTACCCTATACTTAATATAACTATAAACTACCTTATACCTAGTATAACTATAAGCTACCTTATACTTAGAAGAAAAAGGTAACTTAAGTATACTAATAGGTACTATTATACCTATTAGTAAGTAAGAGAATTAGGCTATTATTATAATATATTATAGTAGCTATAGTAGTTACTACTTTTCCTTATAGTTATTATTTTATTCCTTATAGTTATTTCTAGTTATTTTTCCTAGTTAATATAGATTAAGTAGGAGTAATAATAGGTAGCTTTAAAGCTAGAAGAACAATCTCCTATTACCTAGTATATCTAGCACTTACCTATACTATATAACTAGATAGAAGTTATATAATATAACAACTTTACCTCTTACCCTATATATGCCCTATTAGACTTAATAATAATATATAAACTACCTAAAAGAAATTCCTAAGTATAAAGGCTATAGTAAAAAGTAAGTAAACTAAGGTTACTATAAGAATATTCTTTAGTAATATATATATAGGCTATAGGAGTATAGACCCTAAGTAATAACCTAGTATAGGTATAGAGTATATATTAAATATATACTAGCTTAGGTAAGTAAGGCGTAGTAGGCTTATATTAGCCTAGGTAATTATAGCTAATATAACTAGGGTACTACTAGAGAGGGGGGGTATATAAAGGAGTTAGGCTTAAGCCTACTCTAGCTAGACTTAGCCTAAGGCTACTATAGGCATACCCCTAATATACCCCCTTTATATACTATAGTAGATAGATAGACTAGCTTTTCCTCCTCTTTTACTCTATAAAAGAGTTAATACTATTATAATACCTATCTATAAATACCCTAGGGCTAGTTCTTAATAAATTATAATTATTATTATTATCTTTAATAATATTAATTATAATAGCTTTATAAAGCTATAAAGTATTAAAAAAGTTATCTATTTATATATATATTTAGTCTATAATCTATAAAAAAATAACTAACTTATTATTTTTTATAAAAAATATAGCTTATAGTTAGATAGCTAAAAAATAGGTAGAAAATACTTATTATTACCTCTTCTAGCCTATTTCTAGCCTTTATAATACCCTTACCTAGTATAATACTTTAAAAAAACCCCTATCTAAAAGTTATATAAAGACTACTAGGATTTAGCTAGTAATCCCTACTAAATTAGGTAAGGCGCTAGAATTATATAGATAAGTTGATTTCTAACTCACAGTTTCGTAACTTAGCATCTGGGCACAAAGTGGCACATCTCAAAAAGTGGACAACCCCGCGCCCGTCAAGCAAGTGCCTTCATAAGGCAGCGCAATCGATAGACAAATAAGCAATGACATTCAACAAGAAGTCATTAGCGGCCTCGCCAGTACCAAAATCTTATCGTGCCTTAGCAACGATCGTCAGGTAAGTCCAGTTAATCCGCGTCTCTACCTCTAACCTGAAATTCCTCATTCTCCATACTCCTAATACTAAACCGAGATAAATCTTCATTCACATCGCTATCGACCATAGTAAACTTCGTTCCCTCTTCCTCATCAACAAGAGGATGCATAGACTGGCTCTTAGGATACTGCCATAAAGTTAGTCCATGCATGCATGTACTTCCATAGCGTGGCGTATCCAGTTCTTCCTATCCTAACTAGATCCACACCACTCCGCATCATCATTGCGACCGAGAAAAAATTGGTGGTGAGGCTGAAAGCGTTTAAATGAGTTTTGCCTTTATTTTTTAGGTCGCTTCGAGAAATTTTGCCAAATTGTTCTTCTAACGAAGCTAGTTGGAAAGTTAAATGCTCTACCGAAACTAGAAGCCCATTTTGCCTATTAGTGTAAGGTTATCAAGCAAAAGTGAAGGCAACCTAACGAGTTAGGTATAGGCGCTGGGGCGTCACAAACGCTCGTCATCAGCCAAGCCTGTTTCTCCTTGCCTTCTCCACAGCTGCTTGACAAATATGAGCCAGGCACTAACAAACCGGATATGCCCAGTATAATACCTACTAATTCTAGTAAGGCGTGTAAATTATATAGACTTTATAGTACTCTTAATAATTTTATTGAAAATTTGGAAACTTAGGATCACAGTATAGATGCTCCGAGTATTACGGGTGCTGTCGGACGGCGGAACCCCTGCCTTGGTTGCCGTGCCGTGAAATCCGGGATCAGCATGCGCCACTGTCTCAGTCGGCGGTTGACACTTGACAAGATGATGGCTTCTGAGAAGTCGGCTTCTCTGTTGTCTGCCAAGTGCTGGCGATGCACGACTCGCTGAGCTGTTTGTTCCCTCGCCAGAGGAAACGGCTAGAGAGTCAGATGTTTGTGGGTTTGGGCCATGTACAATGCAACATTGGGAGTGCCAAGTCACCGTGTCTGGGCATCGGCGTGCCGGCGAGCCGAGATGGACCACTGCAGTGTGACTAGGCGCGTTAGTGTGAGGTGATGTGTTTCTTTGCCTTTTTTTTTTTTTTCATTTCTTTTCTTGCTTTTCTCTCTTTTTCTTCTTTTTCTTCATTGGTCAGCTTACAGACTTGTACTGGCCTGGTTTTGTACCTTGACGGAGCCTCGATCTGGTCCCCGCCAAGGCCTGCGGTGAAATGGCAAATCTATGGCGGACAAGACGACGCTAGGTGGAGCTTGTGAGAGTCGGAGGGTTTTTTTTCTCTAAAAAAAAACACTTCTTCCCATCCTGATAAGTACCAATAATAGTAGCGGGCAAACGGAGGGCACGATCGGCGACGCGGGGTCCCGCTGAGGAGGTGCTGGGGACACTCTTACTCAGGCCGCCGAGGTAGACTGGGGATGTGATGCAACCCCAAGCGAATTGGTTGTGGCTGAACCGGCTACATAGGTGACGACGACGACGATGCGGAGAAATGGCAGAACGTGTTTGTAGTCGTGTATCGGCAGATCCCTATTTTCATGGAAGAATTTCCCCGCGAGGCCTGACTGATGACTGACAACGACATCGCTGCCCACGGACTTGTCTGCCCTCTTCAGTATTACGCTTCTGACGGCAGTCCACCCCGCCCAGTCCCCAGGTCCGCAACTAGGTAGCATGAAGTAATAAATACGGAGTCAGTTCAAGCACGTAGTAGCGGCTAGCACCAAGAGGCTACTATTTGTCTTGATAATAATACTTCCCTTTTTCCTTTTTACACAGTACGAAGATAGGTACCTGCGACTGGGACCCGGGTGCATGCATTGATGGCCACAGTGACACTCCTCGCGGCGATTTCCGCAACAAACGTCGGAACTGCCTTTTATTATCCTGTTTATGTTATTTCTGTTTTGCATTCAACTATATGCGCATCCAGACACAGATAGTCCCCTCGACTGAGCCTGCCAGATCATCTCGCCAAGGACGGCCCAGGTAATTTGTACTTCAGACAGGTGGTCAATGGCCTGGCCGGGTGGGGCGCTCTCGGCCAGCGGCTGCCGAAGAGGGGTCCTGCGGTCCACCGGGCATTGCCCTGTGCCCCCAGGTTTTGCAGTGGCTGTTCAGTGGCTGTCTGCGAGACTGTCCACTAAAAAGATTGTCTGTTTGCCCTGGCTGCTCGTCTTCCAGTGACCGACCATTCGCCAATTCAATTACAATTTGCCCCCCTGGGTCCTGGCCTGGCCTGGCCTGGCGCGCCCGCCGGGCCTCCTACAAGCCACCACCAGTGCCGACCCGTGCTTTTCCCTTTCCCTGCACTGCTTCCAGCCTGCTGCCATCGCCAACCAGGAGCCAGGAAAATCCCGTCAGCCCAGTAAAAAACCAGTAAAAGGCACTTCCCCCAGCACCGCAAAACCGTCTCGCCGCCGCCCCCCCAAAAACCCCCCCTCCTTCCTTCCTCAGCGCACCCCCGTATTGGCCCTTCTCGTCACTTTCTAGACCAGCCCCCCTCCCCCCAGTATTCCGATCACTTTCATCCATATCTATCTCATTTCAATCATCATCTCGCCGTCCGTCCATCGTCGTCTCCTGCGCCCCCTCCTCGCCGCAGTCCGACCCCTCGCCGTCGCCGGCGTACATGCCCATCTAAAAGCATCCCGCCCGTCTTGCTCGCCCTGTCTGTCATTCGAACCACCGACGACCTCCCTTGGCGAACAATGCGTGGCCACGCAGAGAAGCCAGTCGCCGCCGCCGAGACGGATGGCGGCGACCACGACGCCAACATCCCGACACAGCGCATCGACGAACTCGAATCCGAAAAATCAGAAGTAGAATCTAATGTCGTAAGTCAGTCTTGACATGTGCGCATTTTACCGTCATCGCTTGCCAATTCGCCGTCCTGCGATGCGGCTTTGCGCGCAAACCCAATCCCATTCCGAAGAGAGACAGGGAAAGAAATAAGCAGTAAACGCTGACCGCTGCGCCGCAAAAAAAGGAGCCCTTTTCATACGAGGAAGACGATGACCGCGACTTTCCTCGCCAAGTTCGCACCGATCTCAACGTTACCGAGGACGACCTGCTCGAGGCCAAGGAGCTCGCCTCCCGCTACACCCTCGAGCAGGTCCGCGACATCATGGTCCGCATCTACCGCATCCACGCCCGCGACCCCAACTTTCCCTCGGCCGTCGTCATGAAGATTCGCGCCTTTCTCGACAGCGATGACATCTTCAAGCACCCCGAGTTGCACCAGCACCTCATCTCCGAGATGAAACTCGAGGCCGCCCTCGTCACCTCCAACAGCCCCTACGCCGAGGTCCGTGCCGTCGTCAGCAACAAGGACGACCCCACGACGCACTCGTCCACTATCCGCAGCTGGGCTATTGGTCTCTTATTTAGCGCTATACTCGCCTTTGTCAACCAGCTCTTCGATATTCGTCAACCTGCCATCCGCGTCATGGCCAATGTTGCCCAGTTGCTGGCGTATCCTATCGGCAAGGCCGCCGAGCGATGGCTTCCTGACGCGGGCTTCACCCTCTGGGGTATCCAGCATAGCCTCAATCCTGGGCCGTTTACTCGCAAAGAGCACATGCTAATAACCATCATGGCCAACGTCGCCTATAATACGCCATATACAAACTATATCATCTGGGTGCAATATCTGCCGCAATACTTTAACCAACCTTACGCCGCCCACTTTGCCTATCAGATTCTCATTGCGCTCGCCACGAATTTCATCGGCTATGGAATGGCTGGCATTTGCAGACGCTTCTTGGTCTACCCCTCGTACTGTGTCTGGCCCGCATCCCTCGTCACCATCGCTCTCAACACCGCCTTCCACACGCCTGGCAACCCGCCTGTCATGGGTCCCTTTGGCAAGATTTGGCGCATCTCGCGTGCCAACTTCTTCTACTTGATGTTTGGCGCCATGTTCATCTGGTTCTGGTTCCCCAACTACATTTTCACTTCGCTGTCCAAATTCAACTGGATCAGCTGGATCCTGCCGCACCACCGCGACCTCAACGTCATTACCGGCATTAACAACGGCCTGGGCCTGAACCCCTTCCCGACCTGGGACTGGAACGTGCTGCTGTGGGATTCCGCCGACCCGCTCATGGTGCCCTTTTTCAGCACGCTCAACCGCTTCATAGGCGCCTTCATCTCCATGTGGATTGTCCTGGCCTTTTGGTACAAGAACGTCTATAATACAGGCTACCTGCCCATCAACACGAACCGCGTCTACGACAACACGGCCAAGCTGTACAATATCTCGCGCGCCATCAACGACCGCGGCCACCTCGACCCCGCCAAGTACGCTGCCTATTCGCCGCCCTTTCTTGGCGCCGGCAACGTCGTTATTTACATGTTCTTTTTCGGCATCTACACCTCGACGCTCACCTACGCCATCCTGTACCATCGCCACGAAATTTTCATGGGCTTCAAGGCATTGTTCAACAGCTTCCGCAAGAAGACGCCGCTTGAGGACGACCACATCCTCGACGTGCACAACCGGCTGATGAAGTCATACAAGGAGGTGCCCGAGTGGTGGTACATGCTGTGCCTGTTGTGTGCTATTGCCCTTGGAATCGCCGGCATCGCTGGCTGGGACACCCATACGTCACCCGGTGTCGTATTCTACGGCCTGGCCCTCTGCGTCGTCTTTGTCATTCCCGTCGGCATCATCAAGGCCATGACGGGCATCGAAGTGACGCTCAACGTGCTGGCCGAGTTCATTGGCGGCTCCTGGGTCGACGGCAATGCGCTGGCCATGAACTATTTCAAATCCTTTGGCTACGTCACCTGCGCCCACGCCGTGTGGTTCTCCAATGATCTCAAGCTCGCGCACTACGTCAAGATCCCCCCACGCCAGACGTTTGCCGCGCAAATGATTGCCACGCTCGTCAGCACGCTCGTCTGCATTGGTGTGCTCAACTTTCAAATGACAAACATTCGTGCCGTCTGCACTGAGGATGCTCGCTACAAGTTGACGTGCCCCGGCGTCAATACCTTTTTTACCGCGTCGGTCCTCTGGGGTACCGTCGGCCCCAAGAAGGTTTTTGGCCACCAGGGCCAGTACAGCGAGATGCTCATCGGCTTTCCCCTTGGTGTTTTGATTGTCGTCGTGTTTTGGTGCCTGAATAAGAAATTCCCCCACTGGGCTTGGACGCGGCAGATTCATCCCGTTGCCATCATGTATGGCGGCATCGTCTGGGCGCCGTACAACATGTCGTATATTTGGCCTTCGGTACCTATTGCTTACTTCTCGTGGATTTACCTCAAGTCGCGCTATGTCGGTCTATGGTCCAAGGTACGTTTTCCCCCATGTCATCCCCAAGTCTTGCTACCCGACTTGTTGCTAACATGCCATCGCAGTACAACTTTGTTCTCTCCGCAGCCTGGTCCTGCGGTATCGCCATCTCAGGCATCATCATCTTTTTCAGCCTGCAATACACCGAAGTCGACTTCAACTGGTGGGGCAACCAAGTCTCGGAGCAAGGGTGCGAGGACGACTCGTGCAACTACAAGACCCTCGGCAGCGGCGAGTACTTTGGCCCTCGCATAGGCGAGTTTAACTAAACTCACAGAGCGTTGTGTCTGGGATTTCTTATGGATATGATTTTGTTTATACACATTGCTGGAGTCTGTTTCTTACTCTTTCTATTTCGGTTGATTTTTCAGGCTGTGCGTGGAAAAACCACTCTGGGAAGTGCTTCTATTGCGTTGTACTTTTTCTTCTCGTTCTGCATTGGGAGTTGGGAAATATGTTGGAGATTTTGGGTTATTCGAAACTGTAAATTTGTTCCTGTCCTTTTTTTTGTCTTGGCCCTTTGACTTTTTTTTCTTGTCTAATTGTATATATGGCATAAAGAGACAACACTTAGGCACTATTTCCATTCTCTTGCCCTCTGTGGCTTCAATATGCTGTTTCCTCGGTATTCCGTTTGACGCTTCTCTTTCAAAAGTCTGCTCTACAAAATATGACACCAACAAGAGATCAAGGGGAGAGATACACGTGAATCAAAGATTATCATTGTATGCCACTCCTAAAAGTACACAATGCAGCGTCCACAGACTAACAAAGCACCGCCAACGCACACACGCAACACGTACACACACCTACCTACATGCAAACCCCTCAGTAGTACTAGCATGACAGTAAAACAAGATAAAAATATCAGGTCCTGGTATAATCCTCCACTTCCCCAATCAAATAATGCAAATCGTTTTTCCATGCGTCATCTGTCATTTGTTCCTTCTTCAATTGATCACCTCGTCGTCATCTACTTCTTCAATGCTCGTGCGGCGAATGCCCTCCTTGGCCTCCACTGGGCCACCGCCGCCCTTGTCTGCCGCGCTTGCCGCCGCACGAGGTACCACAACTTCACTGTCCTCCTCCTCTGTCTCAGGCGTGGCCTTGTCCGCTGCCGTCGTCTCCGCCCGGGAGCCAAACGGCCAGAGTCCGCTCAGACCGCGTGCCGCCTCCTTGACCGGGTTCACGGCAAGCGGTTTCAGGAGCACCCTGTCCGGCGTCGTTTCCTCGTCCTTGCCCGCGATACTGCCACCCCTTTCCTCCTCGGCCATGGCAAAGTCGCCAAACTCCTCGTCGTCCGAGTCGGCATCATCGTCGGCACCGGCGCCGGCGCCGGCCGCCCTGCTCACAACGCCGCGCCACCATCCTCCGCGGTCGTCCCGGTGGCGGGGCTCGTCATCGTCTAAGTCATCGTCTAAGTCGTCGTCGTCGACGTCCGCGAAGGGGTCTGACCTATTGCGCGTGTCGTCATCGTTGTCATCGTCGTCGTCATCGTCGAAGCCGTGAAACGACCCGCCGCCAAAGGCCGCATTGTCTTCTCGGCTCTTCTGGTGCATAGCTAGACGCGCCGCGAGCTGCAGCCGTGCCCGCGAGGGTGGAATATTCAATGGTGGCGGAGGAGGCGGCGGCGGCGGTATTGAGGGCGGGTCGTGAGGGCCACCTTGCTCGTAGGAGCGAAACTAGGAGTCGTGGTTAGCAGCCAGCACCAAGCAAAGTCTTGAGTAGGCGGTCAAAGCAACACGGATCCGTTCAAGCTGCGGTATTGAGTATCCCCCATATTCTACCCGTATTTGTACAAAAAGCGCCGTCCGTCTCGACCACTGGTGCAGGGGCACCAAGGCCTGAGCAGCTCAGTGTAGAGCTTCCCTCTGTGCATATCTATAGGCTCATAATTCCATCTCTTCATCATCCTCATCCAAATTGAGAGGTCTATCTCCAAAGTATCTCTTCATATGGGGGACGCCATCCTTATAAAAGATGTTGGGTCCACTAGACTCGCCCGCTGCCCCCGGAGCTGTGATGTCTCTGTCTCGAGCCGGTTCGTCACTTACCTCGGTGTTGACGTCTTCGTCTTCTCCTTCCCCGTCATCATCATCTTCGTCACTGCTGCTTCCAAACCCAGATATTAATGTGCCTCCGCTAATGGCAAACGGCCCAATGCCGCCCGCATTATTGTCACTGAGATCCATGCCGCCATTCAAGCCAGCTTCCGCTAGTCCAGTGGCGCCGGCTGGTGTGTTGCTCAAGCCCGTGAGACCACCGATGCCGCCGGGTCCAATGCTGGCGCGTTGGCCAAGTGCAACCTCGGGCCTCACACCACCAAGAATAGCGTTGTCCCTCTCGCGAGTTTCTGCGAGCGCACCCTCGACGTAGTTGATCCAGCCTGCGCTCATCACCTTGTCTAGGACAGTCTCGGAGAGTAGCTCAGGTGGATGTCTTTCTGTAAACTTGACAACCTCCTCGGCGATCAATGTGAGATGGCCCATGTAGCCCATCCGGGTCTTGGTCTTGGCTTGGGATTCATCACTGGCCTGCTGACCGTCGATGATGGCAGTCGTAATATCAGCAGCCTCGAAGAGAGATACAGCTAGAGTAGGGTTGTAGCCTCGATCCATTGGGCCATTGAAGACTTGTTGGACGACATCGTAGACAACATTGTGTAGAAAGTTGTTCCATGGGTATTTAAAGAAAAACGACTGCGGCATGTGAGTAATGGGGAGACAATGAAACAACAGACAGTATGCTTACCAAAATAGTGGGAACAACGCGGTGCTCAACAAACTGCTGCTTCAAGTAGTCTCCAACAACTAGCTCGCCTGGCATGTCCACGTCTGGAGCAGTAGGAGCCTCAGGAACGTGCGCAATAATGATCTCAGATGGTTCGACGACCTGCTTAATATCGTCCCACGCAAGCCCATCGTTTTCCATGGGTGGCTCGGGGGCACGTGGTGCAGAAAACAGCGGCGCCGGGGTGTCTTCAGGATGTGGCGAGAGTTCTCGCTCCAGAGCGGAGCGGTCGTTGGGAGAGGCGACATCCAATTTGCCAGTGTCCCTGGTGATGCCATCGACCGTGGCGGCGGAGGTTTCTGCTTTGTTCTCCTCGCCTTCTGTTGTTGCTGCGTCTTCAAGGACCGTTGGCTTTGCAAACTCAGAGGCTGTTGAAGAGACGACTGATTTGTCAAGCTCAGCATATGATGCCTTGCTGGGTGATAGAGGTGCGACGATGAGCTCGGGGTTTTCGTACTGCTTCTCTGTAATCTTGGTCGTATCTAGCCTGGGGGATGTAAGGGGTTCGTCAACGAAGTCGTCGTCTTCGTCTTTCAGCGCTACAATGCTTGGCTTTTCTTGCTTCTGGGCTTCTTCGGTCGCACCGTCTACTTCTTCGAAGCCATCCTCATTAGGGTTCATGACTTCGAGACGTCTGCCCTCGCCTGGCATTCCCTGCCGCCGCATCGTTAAATTGTCACCAGCCGTCTCATCCTCGCGTACAGGGAACAATAGTCCAGCATCTCTCATGCGCTGGCGCTCCAAGTCGCGCGCAGAAATGAGCTGCTCGGATCCGATTTCGTTGAGGAGACCCATGTTACTACAGTGCAGAAGCTCTGCCATGAGTTCGCAAGTCTTGAAGCGGTCGAACCCCAGCGGCTCCAATTTTTTGCCAAAGGTTGACGCGAGACCATTTGCCTGTGCTGGGTCTTGCATTATCAGGCTCATAAAGTTGGGCACGTTGTCTGCGAAAAGGCGGAGAAGAGTGCCGAGATAAATTGGATCACGGCTAGAAGGTTCGGTTTCGGCCTCGGCAAGCACATCAGGGTCGTAGTCGGAATTGTTCTTGCGGATAACCTCAATGATGATACCGACGCCGACGGTGAGCGGGTTGCCACCGTGGAGCATGTAGCTAATGAGTTGCTGAACGCACTCGTCGGAAACCAGTTGGCGGGTGAGCTCGTTGGGTCCGATGCATTGTTGTTCGTTTTGTGATGCGTTGGCGGAAATGGTAATTATGGCTTTGATGAAGTCACCAGCAGCAGTTTGGACGACCCAGGAGTGCTCGGGGCTGATGAAGGAGAGAAGCGTAGAAATAATGTTTTTCGTGTACAGCCACTCGACGATGCCGTGGCCACCTTCGGTACGGTCCATGGCAATAATCTTAAGAAGCAGGTCCATAATCATGGGGCATTCGACATGTTTGAGCATATCGGAAACGGCGTTCGGTAGGCTTCGGAGCAACGCGATCATCTCCTCGGTCTTTTTCTCAAAGAGCGATTCATTGACCTTGGTAAAATAACTGGCCTGTAGAGGATCGAGCGGGGCGGGGCGAGATAAGAAGTCCCAAAATGACTTGATGAGTTGCTTGTTGTCGACGAGGGACTCATAGATGGACCATGTGTCGGAGCTCAGAATCTCGCAGGCGACAAGGGCGTAGCGGTTACGCCTCTTTTCTTGTTCTTGGTCGTCATAGGAGGCCGAGTCTGTGTTGCGCGAGGATGTACGAGGACGCGAAAAGGTCATTAGGCGATTCCGCCCGCGCGATTCCTCCACATTGTCCTGAGGCGTCTCAAAGGTCTCGAGGCGGGGGGCGACGACGTATTCGAGGAGGCGCTTCAGGATGGCGTCTTCGCGGAGATACTCGATGAGCTTGGAGTTGTGCTGCTTCAGCTCCTGGATGAGGTCACTCTCGTCGAGCAGCTCCTCGAGGGTAAAGTCGGTCTTGTCGAGGATGGTATCAATGGTGGAGATGTTGGCGTAGCCGCCAAATCTCCAAAACATGGTGAAGGTTCGCTCTGTGGGCGGCGCCGGGCAAGCTAGAGCGAGCGCCGGCGAGGGGGCGGGAACGCGGGGGGCAGAAGCTGGTAAAGCAGGTTCGAAGAGGGCCGCGCTGGTGGTGGTGCTTGCAGATGCGATGGCGTCGAGATCAGGGGCGACGACGATGGGGGGAGCATTCGGCTCGACACGAGGGTTGTGGTGGTGGTGGCGCCGCGGCGGATTGGGTCCAAAGGGGTGCAGGCAGGGATGGCGGCAAGGCACAAAGGCAAAGGCAGGCGCGGCGTCGGTCTGCTTCGCGAAAAGGCACAGCAGGAGGGCCGTTTAGATCATCCCGGGAGGCGGTCGATGGCGGCCAGACAGGATGGAGTGCTGATGGAGGGCGGTTGCGGCGCGCGACGAGATGGGTGTCGCGTGCGTGGTAATCCTGAGGAGGAGGGTAACGGTGAGGAAGCTGGCAAGGAAAGCGTGATGGCATTCGTGGAGACGGGTTCGCAGAAGCTGGCAGAAAGCTGACAGGCGCCTTCCTTTGGCTGTACCGCACCTGCCGAGGCGGGCCAAGGGCCAAGCGGCCTGCCTGCTTCAGGGCTTCCGGCCTCCAGGGCACGTCCAGCGCATTTTACGGGGCTGGCAGTGCGTGTCGGGCGATGATATCCCAGGCACAGCGCTCACTGGGCCTGTGCTCAATCTGCGTTGCCCGATTCTCAGGTACCATGGGAGCCGCTAAGAAGCTTTTGTTACATGGTATCAATAATGTAACCACACACTGTGTTTCTAACTATCGTATCTTGATCTTTTCGATTTTTCATCGAGTAGATTACCTGGATAATCACTGATCTCTGCCCCGGCAGTTCTTCATCACACGTGGCAATGCAGGCGCCTTTCCGAGCCACCCCAACACCCATCGCTGGTAGGTTGGTAGGGTACTTTTCAGCTGCTATATTGCTATATTGGCTAATCTGGTTTATTTTTACTATCCTCCGCTCCGGCACTCGCAAACCTTGGGTTGTAAAAAAAAAAAACAAGCTCCCCTCATTTGCCCAGAACACCCCTCTCGGCGCCTGAGCTGAAACACGAACAGCGGCCGCACAGCCTGGGTGCCTTGGTTTGGGCGTTCCTCGTCACTGAAACTGCTCAGCGCTCACAAAATATTCACCGCCGCATTCGTACCCGCGAACATATTAATTGCTTGCATGAGCTTGATCAGAAGCTCAGAACTTGCGTCCAGACGCAACTTTATCCATACATGTCCACTAGCAAGTACCTACAGGCATTTCACCCGATTGTTCTCTTTACTCCATCTGCAGAAGACATAGGCGGCTGCGGCGCCGGCTCATGGCTTACACTGACAACGACGTGGTATTGAGAAATCTCTGTGACGCTTGCCCTTGAAGAAAAAATCCGTGTCACGCCGCACGCGGCAGAACGCGTGGTAGCATCAACGGTGGTGCGTTGTACAGCCGCATGGCTGCCTCGAGCACGGCTCGGAGACGGAAGCCCATCATGAGCTCCGCCACAAGGCTGGCCTGGATATGTAAATCTCAGGCATGGTGTCTGGCTAACAGCTTGCGATGCTGACGGCGATACTCGGGATTTCTTGTGCTGAAGAGGCTCGGGATGCATATCGTCCCCAAGTAACTAGTACTTGTAAAGATTAAGCTCCCGTCCATCAAAAGCTCTGGGTTGGGCGTCGAAAGAGGTAGTAGGTTGGCCGCCTGATGGGTGCCCAGTACTCGGCACCAGGGGCACAACTCCTCACGTTGCAACGCAATATCAATATCCGTCTCTAGTGTGCGATCAAGGAGTGGAATGCAGGCCAACTGCTTACCAAGTATACGTTTATTCAGTCCCTTCCTTTGATACTTGACAAATTGGAAGGGAACGCTCACTTGTGGACACTACTTGAACAAGAAAAATAATACATTGAAATCAAAGTCGCTAACCAAGCCTCTATGCATTTTGGTCCCTTATATACCTTATACAGCGCATTCATCTCTCAGCACACCATGTTCATTATCCGTAGGCCACGGTCCAGCTCTATGCCCACGCTCCTGGACGCGCCCACGAGGTCCTTGAGCACCACGTTGCGCCACCAGGCGTACCAGTCTGCGACCTCGCTCAGGTTGACCTCATCCAGCGCCAGCCACTCTTGCAGCTTGCGGTGCCACATGGGGAAGAGGTGCTGCGCGAGCACCTCGGCGAGCACGGCGTCGCCCAGGACTGCGCGCCAGCGGAGAGCACCCGACAGCGCAGGCAGGTATGGCGCTTGGTCGGCCGGATCGACTCGGAAGTGGCGCTGGAGGTGCCGGCCCATGGCGGGCAGCACATGGGCGACAAGTAGCGGCCGCCACTGTGTCCCAAGCACCGCCTCCCACTGCGCTAGCCCGGGCACGACGCCGCGCGCATAGTCCCACGCGTCAATGAGCTGCCGAAACTTGCGCCGCACGTCCGAGACGAGACCCGTGCCGCGCGGGTCCAGGTGGTAGGCTGGCAGGTGCGGCAGCCACGGAAAGAGCCACATGTGCGGCAACTGGTGGCTTTGCTTGGCCACGCGCGGGTTCCAGTCGGAGAGGGTCGCGTCCAGCTTGCGCGTAATGCCTTCCATGGCCTGCGCGCGCACAAACGGCGGGAGCAACGCATCCCAGCTCTCTATAACTTCGAGGAGTGGCCCGGGCGTGATGGCATCCCAGCTACGGACGGCGGCGAGGACCTGTGGGAGCCAGCTCTTGTACATGAGCGTCTCGTAAGCGCTCGTCCCTTTCTTGTGCCGCCGGTAAACGCCTTGGTCGTCGCGGATTGTGTTGCCGTTTCTATTGATGGCGCCATTTTGTTGGTCCTGGCCCACGAGAATGCCTGTCAGTCCCGTGAGCTCCGTCGCAAACTTGCCGGGTTCTTTCAATGGATCCCAGTCCCTGAAAAAGGGATGTATAGCAGCAACGATAATATCCGCCACTTCAGGCACAGTTGAGCTCAAATCTTCCACCTCGTCGAGTGCCGCCATAACCTCTTCGAATGTTGCGGCTGTTGTAATTCGGCCTATGACCAAGGTGGAAAACGCTTTCAGTCGTGCAAAATCAACACGCAGTTCTTCAACCTCCTTTTCTCTTTCGGTAAGTTCCAGATCAATCCACTTCTTGCGCTCCTCGAGGCTTCTCCATTCCTCGGTAAAGGCCATCAAGTCCGCTTGAGCTCGTTTCACCAGCTTTCTGGATTCGATGACTTCTCTGGACTCAACTTCTCCGGATGTCGGTGTCATGATTCCGCTCGTCGACGTTAACATCCGACTCCCGGGGCCGGTCATGTCAAGGATCGGCGCAAATGCTTCGGGAATGTGCATGCCAGGCGCCGCGGTACGAATCTGGTCAGCGGTGAGATATTTCGTTTTTTGTCGTCTGGGTGTGCTGCCGCCACTACTGGTCGTTGTTGTGAGGCCCCTTCTCCGGGCTTTGGCCTTGGCTTTCCGATTCTTTTCCTCCTCGTCCGAGTCGATGACTATTTCTCCCCGCAGTTGGGCTTGACGTTTCTCTTCCTTCTTTTCTTGCGCAGATTTCTCTTGCACAGCACCAAGGCCAACTCCCTGCGGTCGGAGATTTGCTTCTATGATGACATTTCGCCCCTGCCCTTCCGCACCAAGACCCTTGCCCTCAACGTATCCCATCTTGGCCATCATTCGAGCACCAAAAGATTTCGCATTGATTTTGCCCTTTGGGCCAAAGGCACTTGGTTGTGGCTTATTTTGCGGTGGCGGCGGCTGGCTGGCCTTGCCTTGTGGCTCCTTCAACACAGGTTCAGTCGCAGAGGACGGAACAAACCCAACTCCCAAGACTCCGCCGCCTTGAAAACTGGTCGCAAAGCTTGGTCGATTGACTTTCTCCGTCTCTTCATCTTCTCCATCACGATTGACTGCGCTAGCTTTGTTCCATACCATCTTCTGGCCAAATCCTAAGCCGACGCCAGCGGATGCGTCCTCGTCACTTTCCTCTTCGTCTTCGGCGTCTTGCACTGTGTTGCCTAGCATCGGTCGAGCATCTTCGGAGTCATCGTCACTCTCTTTGACTTTGGGCTCATCTGCCGTCGTTTTTACAAAGCTCATAGCCTTGTTTCGTAGCGTTTTCCGCTTCCACTTTGACGCTGGGCCGCCATCGTCGCTGTCAGACCCGAAAATACCGAGCGCGGCACGTTCCTTATTGTTGCCTCCGAGTCGTCGTCTCTTTCGCGGATTAAAATCGCCAAAATCGTCGTGGTCCTCACCAGGCAAAAGGCGCTCGTCATCGGAATCTGAATCGGACGAAGAGTACTGTTGGGCTGCTGCTTTGGACATGCGGGAAGGGTCAAAATATGACCCTGAGGAGCTCGCCATGACTTTATCAGCTCATGTGTCCAAGTGGTATGCACTTTGATGTAGTATTCAAGCCATCGGGAATAACAGATGGCCGTCTTCGCCTTTGCGAGGCTTTGCGACAGCTGGAAACGAGCAAGACGACGATTACCTCGAAGCCGTCTTGATAATTTTAGGCAGCCTCTTATCGCCACGTGACTTGTTCGCGTCGCGCTTCACCCCGCTGACCGCGACAAGCCACTAATGGGGGGCCGAGGCGGATTGCTCTACCTTAGTAGCTCTAGGTACCTCAAGACTCGCGTGTACACCGCTAACTTATCACGCAAGCCATTTTGCACGCAGCAAATATTGTACTCGTTGGCCAGCTCATATGGGTACGGATAAAGCAAGCCCGAGCATTTAACTATATCTCAACGTCTTAAGCGCTAGCGTACATTTCAATACTGCTCTGAGTCTTCATGCAGTGAGGAGCTCTTATTATCCGTTACCCCGGTAATTTACTACCTTAGGTAGCCGGCGCCACTTTGTAAACAAGCTGGAATGTTCCTCCCTTGCTTGCACCACGAGCGTTGGGCATCGACAGCTGCCAGATGTCGCCTCTTTTTCTAAGGAAACAAAAAGCCTGATTTCGAAGCCAGTAGTAAAATTAATAAGAAGATCCCTTGCGTCATATTTGGTCTTTGTTTATGTTGTGACCCTATAGCACTGCGACGAAGCGTTTAAGTCCAGCGCCAAAGGCACACAGATTAGGTAACCCACCTAATTTGGCAACGGTCAATCAAAAGCTGCGCAGGTCGCTTGTTGACTTCCTCTGGCCATTTACATACACATATTGGTCTGCTTCTCTTGCTACGCGAGCGCAAACTCAATCAGGCTTTGCTTTGCCTTTTTCGCCTTGTTCTACTTCCGATATTTTTGCAACGCCACTTTGACCTTCGCAAACTCCGGGCGGCCCAAGCATTCCCTTTCGTTTTTCTGCCCCTCGCGACTGCCCTCTCTGCTAGTTTTACGCCAAGGGGTCCTCGACTGTGAAGCGCTGCTTGCCTACGACGAGCACCAATCACTTTCCTCATCAATCTTGCCTCCTTTGTGACACCAGTGTCTACCTTGCCGCTGGGATAGCAACTTGCGTACCAAAGTATGTCTCGTCGTCCTGCCGCGACACTTATGAGCCCCGTACTTCACGAGCCTCTCCCCAGTGTTGAATCGTCATGAAGAAGCTCAAGCATCTAATCGCGAAACTAGGAACCACACCAGCTCCGCATTCAATACCCCAATCCTGCCTTTTTTCTCGCTTGCCTACCGACGTCCGCATCACAGGCGCGCCTCGAACCGTCAAGATGGCTGAAGAGGAGGATTACAGCTCAATCCCTTTGACCGATCGCTTCACTCATAAGGTAAATACAAAAAACCCGTTTCATATCTCGTGGATCCAAAGGGGGACTCGCCATTGACAAACTCGCGCGCAGGTTTGGAAAGTTCGCAAAGGAGCCTACGAAGAAGCTGCCAAACAATTCGCACTTACGCCTGACGAATCCGATCCTTTTTTTCGCCCATTCCTAAGCGATGTCGGCCTCTGGAAATCCGCAGTTTTAGATGCCAACGTCGTTTCGCAGCAAGAAGGTGTGATTGCCCTCTGCGCATTTCTCAAATACGCTGGGCGAGATGCCGGCCTCCGCACACGCAACCACACAGTGGCTCCGATAGTCGAAAAGTGCCTTTCGAGTTCAAGAGCAGCCACAAAGCAGAATGCAATCGAGGCCCTTCTATTATATGTTGAACTGGATGTCGCTGGACCAGTGATCGAGGATATTCTGCCGGGTTTGGCACATAAGACCCCAAAAAACGTCGCCGCAGCTCTCCAGGCTCTGACTCAAATTGTCCACAACTATGGTTGCAAAATCGTTGACCCAAAGCCCATACTCAAAGCGCTACCGAAGGCTTTTGGCGCTGCAGACAAGAACGTCCGAGCCGAGGCTACCGGTCTAACCGTCGAATTGTATAGATGGCTGCGTGAAGCTATGAAGCCGCTGTTCTGGGGAGAGCTGAAGCCCACGCAGCAAACCGACCTCGAAGCACAATTTGAAAAGGTCAAAGCGGAACCACCTCCCAAACAAGAGCGTCTTCTGCGCTCCCAGCAAGATGTTGTCGAGACTGCACCCGAAGCTGGCGAAGACGGATATGATGAGGGTGGCGATGAGCAGGACGGTGGTGAAGAACTAGATGCCTTCGCTTTGGCAGAACCTGTTGATATTAGCCACAAAATTTCCCCCAACTTCACCGAGCTGCTGGCTTCGTCGAAATGGAAAGACCGCAAGGAAGCCGTGGACGGTCTATACGAAGCCCTCAACGTTCCTCGCATCAAGGAAACCGACTTTGGAGAGGTCAATCGAGGCCTCGCAAAATGTATGAAAGACGCCAATGTTGCTGTTGTCACCCAAGCTGCGCTTTGCATCGAGCTTCTAGCCAAGGGGCTTCGTCGCAGTTATGCCAAATATCGCGCTGTTGTCATGCAGCCTATCATGGAGCGCCTCAAGGAGAAGAAACAAACCGTTTCCGATGCATTGGCTGCCGCACTTGACGCTGTGTTTGCTTCTTCTAGCTTTTCAGACTGCATGGAAGACATCATGACTGCTCTCGGCAACAAAAACCCTCAAGTCAAGGAAGGCACGATGAAATTTCTCATACGATGTCTGCGCACTACTCGAGATGTGCCCACAAAGCCCGAGATCACCGCCATCTGTGAGTCTGGAAAGAAGCTTCTTGCCGAGTCAACTCCTTTCTTGCGTGATGGCGGCGCCGAGATTCTAGGAACTGTCATGAAGATCATCGGCGAACGAGCCATGACACCACTTATTGAAGGACTAGATGACATCAGAAAGACCAAGGTGAAGGAATTTTTTGCCAGCGCAGAAGTCAAAGCGAAGGAAAAGCCGAAGCCCCCTCCCGCAGCGAAGGCTGCTCCAGCCGGGACCAGGAAAGTCGTTGGAGGCAAACGCCCAGCCGCAAAGAAGGCTGCCCCAGCTATGCCGGCTGCAGAATCACCCTCTAAGCCTGCTGGCCCCGGAAGCAAGCTAGGTATGCCCAAGTCGTCTGGCCTGGGCGGACTGAAGGCGCCTCAGAAGCGAACTTTGGCAACGCCAGGGACTGCCTCTCCGCGCAGACCTGCGGCCGGCCCACCTATCATGCCCTCTGATGATGATCCAGTCGTGGCGCCACCACAGCCTCGAATTGGAGCCTCCCGAGGCCTGGCCGGACGCTCACTTGCCAAGCCAGGTGCTGCGCCAGCCATGCCTCCGCCAGACTCGCCTCCCCCCGTAAGCGGTTTTAGCGCTGTTGAGCGCGCTGAGCTAGAAGAACTTCGAGCAGCCAACGAGAGGCTCACCCGGCAGGTTGATGACATGAGGCAGGAAAGAAGCAAGTTCCTGTCTGAGATCCAGGAGCTGAAAAACCAGAACGCTGGGCTTATTGAAGATCACACGCGTGATGTCCTGAGCATCAAAGCCAAGGAAACACAGCTAGTTCGAGCCCGAAGTGATGCTGAGGCAACTGAAGGAGTCAACGACAGGCTCAGACGTGAGCTTGAGCGCCTGAAGAGGGCATTGAGCAAAGCTGAGACCATCGGCGGAGGCTCTGGTGTCATTAGTCCCGCCATCACTTCTCCGACTCGCGATGATGTCGGCATTTTCCATGATTCTGGCTCAATCTCTGGTGGCTACCACAGAGCAAGCTTCGCCAGTACCATGTCAGAGGAAAAAGAGAATGGCGAGATGGTGTATCCCAGGAGCAAAATTAGTCCGGAACTTCGATACGGAAGCGGAACGTCATCCGGCCGTGGTTCGCCAGCCCGCGGGTACCGCACGTCGCACCCTCCTAGAGAGGAAGGTGTTGATACTACGGTTCCTCCCAGAAGAGAACGGCCCGTATCCTCCCTTCCTCAACCCTCTGGTGGTGGTGAGAGCTGGCGCCGTGCTGCTGAGGTGACGAGTCAGTTGAAAGCACGTATTGAGCAGATGAAGGTATGATCAAGCGTTTCTATCAGATGTCTTCCGAGCACTAACACAAGATATAATAGGCAAAACAAGGTTTCGCTCGCCCATAGGTGGTGCGATGAAGGCACTGATTTTCTGATGACGACAATTCGGCAACGCCGATGCGGAGAGACAGAACGACAGGGCTACGTACGTGGTAATGGTTTCTTTTGGATGCATTTCAAGGCGTTGGACGCATCATACCCCTATCATTCTTGTGCGAGAGTAACACTCTGTGGAAAATGTGCTTTGCTTCAGTGGTGGCTTTTTATTTCTTGCTACTCTTCATAAGAGAGGAAGAAGTCCTGGTCCGCGGGTATAAGCGAGGCTGCTTGCAATTGATACCTCAATGTTTTTACATCTGTTTTTTATGGGTTGAATATTCGGATAGATGAGCTACAACGTCTGTAATGCATGATAACACTGATTTAAAACTAGGCGCGGGGAATGAATGTCGTTTTTAAGTGATATCTTCTCAAAGTATACATATGCCTGAGCGTTGTGCTAAACTTGGCCGTCATGTACAGGATGTCCAAAACACAAAAAGGAGGATGTCATGTCATGTGTGCTGTTCATTATTTCGATGTTTTATATGTCAAGCCAGGACCGAACATGCTTCGTCATAACAGTCCTCCCAGTCTGTTTTGCCTGACGCCCAGAACTTCCGCAGTTTGTTCAGGCACAGAGTTGGTCCATAATACGCATCGCGATGCGTGGAGATTCGATGCAGTATATGCAGAACAAAGTCGCGTTCCACCGCGTCGCCCTCACCATGGAGCGTGACTCCGACCACCGCGAGCGGCCAGGCGAGGCTGGTAGGACGTTGGGGGATGAGCGGTAGCAGCTGACGGATCAGCGCCAGGATCTCGGCGCGGAGCGTGTCAACGCTGGGTGGCGGCGTCGTGCTGAGCAGCGCCCCGTCCTCCTCGCGATAGTTCTCATCGTCCTCGTCTCTCTCACCGTCGGACGCATGGGTGCCCGCCTCGGCCCCCGACGTCGAGGGCGAGGGCAGGGTCGACGACTGGTCCGCCGGCGCCGGCGCGGGGCTCAGCGACGGGAGCGTGAGCAGGCCGTAGAGCAGGACGGCTTTCTGGAAGAGGAGACACAGGATGCGCGCCTCGGGCTTGTCCGGCACGCCGTAGGGCTCCTCCCAGTCGGCGACGGAGAACTCGGCAATGTGCTGGTAGATTTGGCGGGCAGCGGGGCGGGCAAAGGTGTGGACTGGGGCGCCGGCGGCGACGAGAGCACGCAGGCGGTTGATGCGGATCAGGTCCGCAAAGACGTGGCTGGAGCACGGGACGTCGGTATAGAGCGTAAATGTGAAGACGTGGTGGATTTCTTCTGCGGTGAGATCGTCAAAGATTGTGAGCATCTGCGCGGCGGGCGTGGTCGTGCTCGTCAGCACATGGAGCCTGCATTCCGTTAGTTGGTTGTTTTGTTCGGCATTCGTAGATTTTCCGGTGCATATAAGCTTACATATAAACGTATTGGAATTGGTAATCAAAGGTTTTGACGGCCTTGGAAAGTCTCTTGTATCCGCCGCGCATCTTGTAAAGAGCACCGTAGCCGTGGAGGTGGGCCTGCCAGGTGTTTCCCAACAATGTAAGCTGGTAGGCGAGTTAGACTTTTTCATGCACTGGACAAATCAACCCTTGTCTTAAGGTGTCTCTTACATCAATACTAAGCATGTCCACTATTCGAACAAATACAGAATCGTGGGTGTCGCCGTCGGGGCTGGACAGCCTTTCGTTGATGACGCCGAGCATGGTACTCATGGATGCATGAAAGGCAGTCCACAGGTACTGGTCATCCGGCATATCTTCTGGACTTCGAAGTGTGCCTCTATTTTTGGCCGCATCTGCTATTCGATTGCTAAAGACGAATGTGATGAAGCTTGTCTTGCAACCGAGGTTCCCTGCGGTGGGCATGTAGGCAGTGGTGCTGTCATCCAACTGGTTTGCCATGAGACTTGGTAATATGGTTCGATAATCTGCGACCGGGATGAATCATGTTAGCGGCTGATTTCCTTTCACTTCATGGCAATAGATGCAAGAAGAGGTTCCACAAACAGTAGTGAAGAGCTTCCGTCAGGTCCCAGTCTGGTGGTGTTAGTTGGGCCTGGCTCCAAATAACGGCGTGGCGTGCCCTAGAGCCTGGAAAGTACACGGGATGAGCGACATCATTGTGGTTGGTACGTAGCTCAACCAAGCTGTGAGAGGCAGCCGACGCGCTCTGCTTTGCAGGCTTCTTGAGCGGACTTTTGTAGCCGTCGCACATGCGCCCCGAGGTCATGCATCTATTGCACATGGGCTTTGCTTCATCGCATTTAACGCGACGGATGCTGGCAGGCACACGGTGTCAGTGGTCTGATTCGCGCGGGCCTAGTGGCCGGCGTAATGCCAGCGCGCCGCCTCCTTGGAGAAGACAGGGAAGTGCGGGGGGGTTGGGACATACCGGCAGGTAACGCAGCCCGTCCGGGTCTTGGTGGCCCATCGTTTCTGCCGCGGCGGGCTCGTGCCTTCGTTCTCCGTAGGCGGCGACGCGATCACGGCAGCCGACGCCGCCGCCGCCGCCGCCGAGGAGGACCTGTGGTCGTCATCTCGGCGCCGGACCTCGGCCGGGGCGAGCGGGGTGTCCCTGAGCTGGAGGACTATGGCGGGGGCCATAGCCACGAGGATGAGCAGGCGCGCCAGCCGCTCAAAAAAAAGCTCCTTTTTTACTGCAAGTAACTCCGAGACCAGCGTCGCTCTGCAGGCGGAACCACCGGGGGGCGGATGACCCAGGAAATAAGCTATGGAGCATGGAGCTATGCAGGGCGTTGCGTTGTCGATGCTGCGGTCGGGTTGGCGTTGTCATGCGAGACATGGATATATGGTGGCTGGCGGGCATGTGATTGGGTACATCGTATTTGACAACCATCATTCAAGCCTATCAGATTCACTCTCTCCTCTATTTACTTCCTTATTAGTAGGGCTATTAGTGCCCCGCGCAAGATACCACTTTATACTTAATAAGTATTAAAACCCCCTTTTCTTATATAGTTAGCTAGCTATACAGGCTAACACTATAAGTATTATTAGTCCTATAACTAATAGAGCCTATTCCCCTATAGATAACTAAATATTTAACCCCCTAGCTAAGCTAAAAAGACCTTAATTCTCTTAATAGTATATTCTATATAGTATATCTTATATTATCCTTTCTTTATTAAGTTTTTCCCTATAGGCTTTATATATAACTATCTTCTCTAAAAAAGTTGTTTCTATATGATCAAAAACCTTTTTTAAAGTCTTCTTTTCTTAATTAAGATATACTACTAGTAAGTATACATGGCATTATTGTTCGCAAAGGGCCAGTCCATCAGAACAGAACCATCTAGTAGAGGGAACTGAAGGCTAAATTCTATATAGATAAATGTTAATATAAATGTAAAAGACCCTTTACAACTAACAAGGTTAACGTAGTGAAGGAGAGAAAACCTACGTTCGAAATAATCGTCCTGTGCATGTGAAGAAGAAAGCAGCTGCTCGTCGTGACGCACATTACCAGGTCCTGGCTGTGATAAGACAATGCTCAGAGCTTTCGCTGCCTTCCACGCCTCTCGCGAGGTATCGCTTGACTGCAGCCAAATGTCATATGCCTGGTTCAGCGCCGTGCGAATGTCGTGCGCAGTCGGAGACTCTGCTTGCGCATTGGCATCGCCCGCCGACTGCTTCAGATAGAGACAGAGAACGCTGGTCGCTAAAAGAAAGTCGTGATTGACCAGCGAAGACACCTTCCACCGCTCGTGGTGCAGCTGGCAGAACGGCTGCGTCTCCTCCTCGAGCATTTGCTGGTACGCGAGCAGCTTGAGCGCCGCGCTGAGACATGCCGTCTGGGATTGGCGGTAGTCGGCGTTGGACTGCGAGAGGTGCAGGTATTTGCGGTGGAGGACGAGCTTGGCGCGGTAAAACATGATTTCGAGACAAATCTTTTGCATGATGACGTGCGGCGCGTCCATGATGCAGTCTGTCATGGACTGCCACTGGAGGCACTCGGGAATCGAGGCGCGGGCTTCTTGGAGATTCTTTTCCATGTGTTCCGTTTCTTCATGGCTGCACGCTCTCGTGTCGGCGGCAAAGTCCCAAATGTAGCCAATGGCTGTCATCATCCTGGCTTTGACGATGCGAAAGACCATGGGCGTAAGATCTGTTTCTGGCCGTGACGCAGGCATACTGACTGTGTCCTTGTTGAAGTCGTTGTCCTGCAAGTTGGACGGTTCCGTGGTGTTGGTCTGCCACTGCGCAATCAGTCGCGGAAGGCCCATTTGCATCGAGATTCCCAATTGCACTTCCAACACCGTGGCCCAGACTCGCTTGCGCATCTCGCCATCAAAGGGCGAAATGCCGCGGAGGTTCTTGGGGTCCCGGTGGTAGCCCATGTGCATGGACAGCTGGACAATGATGCCGAGAAGGATCCAGATGCCAATCTCGGCATCTTTCCGAAGAAACAGTTCGACGGCCATGTATAGCAACAGTGTCTCCAACACATACACGCCCCCTTTGGTGTAGTCGCCGAGGATAAGACATTGCACGATGCGGAGCCTGAAATTGCTCACCATGTCTTGGAGTTCGCTTTTGGAAGGCATTCCAGGAACCTGATCCTGCGGACCTTGCTGAAACTGTTCAAACAGGGTTGCGAGGCATATGATGCTGAACAAGAGGCCGATCCAAATGATTGGCGTTTCCGAGCTATCGGCCCAGAATTCCTGGTACTAGAACGTGTCAGTCAGAACCTGTGGCTTCTAAGCAATAATACAAGATCAACATGGCAACATACTTCCCGTAAGAATTGGACACTATGCAATACAGCTGTATGAAGTTCACGATGTAAGCCTTTTGATCTACACGGCGGGTTACTTTTGCTTACCTGGTGACATTTCAAATGAATTAAAATACCGCGACACCAGCCTGTCCATAATATGGCGAGGCGGTATCGACGCCAATATTTCGTCCCTGGTAGCGATCTTTGTAAAGCCATGTATAAGTTGCGGTCCGCTGAGGTTTACCTGCGGTGGCTGCGCAGTGCCGAGGGGATACGAACGCGACTCGTCGTCCCTGTCAAAGTGATCCTTGAGCTCTGCGATGCCATCCAGCACGGCGGCCCAATGCGTTCCGTGGACATAGCTTGCTCCGGATTTTGTCAGCCGCAGGCTGCCGTGATCCGAGTCTGGCGAGTTGACTCGGTGGGTATCGTCTGCCACCAGCGTGGCGGACGGCGATACCCTCGGCGAGGCAAGGTTAATGGCCAGTGGCGTGTTGGCGCTGGGAGACGGGTTCGACGAAGCTAGCGGTGGCGCATTCGACGCTGATGTTTTTTGCATAAGGTCGACCACCAGATCCTCGAGCTGCTTGATGCGATCCTGCACGGTAGCCACGGGGTGGACAGGCTGCGCGGTGCCGTCTCCTAGCGCTTGGGGGCTGGGCGCGTACGCGCAGGACAAGCCGAGCCCTCTCTGCGTGCAAGTTTCGCACGGTTGCTGTCGGTCACAGCGCAGCCTGGTGGGTAAGACGTGTCAGTGAGAGCAGACACGAGGCTGGCGGGGGTGGGCAAAGCTGGGTGCGAACGAAGCACGTCGCGCGGGTCATACGGGCGGACTCACTTTCTCCTACGGCAGAGATTGCAGGATAGCTGCACTCTGTCCCTTCGGCGACTGGCGGGCAGCCGCGCTCTCCCAATGGCGGTTTTCCCTGGCCCCCATACTGGGAGCGGCGAGTCCTCGTCGTCATCACCGGGCTCAAACGCATCTGTCGACATTGAGACGCGAGGGTGCTGCTTCGTTTCAGTAGAAGCTGTGTGCCAAGGTTGAGCTATCTGCGATCGGCTGGAAATGGAGGTCGCAGGCCAGGTCAGGTCGGGGGCGCGATGCTTTCGTCGCCAAACGAGCGTAAAGAAATGGTCCCTAAAACTCAGGCCACATCAGGCTATGACTATTGTCTCTTGACCCCTCCCTACGGCGGGAGCGGACATGACCTAGTCCACTTGGTATGTACGGGAATGTGATGTGGCGTCGGGCGAAGAGGAGAGCATGGCGAAGTGAGGAAAGATAGGCGTATTGCGCGCGAGAAATGAAATGTTGGACGTTTTAAATTCACGTTGAACTAGGGTAGCAAGAAAACAGAAGAAATATATTCCCCAAAGATTGAAAGTGCGCCGATAACCAAAACAACGCTAGACCTGTGCCAGGACATGGACTAAAAAGACAAATCTAATAAAATTCAGACCGATCGCCTGATTAAATGGCCCCCATCTCGTAGTGTAAGCACAGAGGCGATTTGGCCCGGTTTCCCGATCGTGCCCCCCGATGCGCCGCTCCGGTTCTCCGTTCCGATGCTCCGCTACGATGCTCCGCGCTATAGCGCTTCCGTGCGCCGGCTCGTAGCAGCCAACATCGCGTAAGGCTTAATTCTGGGGCTCAATTTGGGCATCCTGGCCCTTGCTGCTAGGGGACAATGGAAATATCGGCCAATACTTGTTGTGTTAGGTTGGGGCAGAGAGTCTGGCGGATCCGAAAATGGAGATACGCGGTCGGAGAACGATGTGACAGCCACATCCAACTGACTCAAAGTAAGGGGGATGCAAAAGTGAGATGACGTACCAAGGTGCATCGTCCTACTTAAATGTTTTGTACCTGCATGACTCCGTAGGCAAACCTTTCCTTGCGGTCCATTCGAACAACGGAACAAGCACACAGCCGCGGAACAGCAACGACACTTTGGCCATGGCAGTTCCCAACGAACCCGACTCCAAGCTCGAAGCTGGCGTCGACGACACCGACCATGGCAATCCTATCGAGCTCAAAGACCCCAACGTGGTCGACTGGGATGGCCCTGATGACCCTGCGAACCCGCTCAACTGGCCCGCGTCTCGCAAAAATATTCACGTGGCTATCGTCAGTATTTTCACCCTGACAGCGTATGTACTCTCAAAAAAAGAATGCGATAGCCCTGAAAGGAAAATGTAGACTGACAGGCGCACAGAAACCTCGCCGCGACAATGTTTGCGCCAGGGGCAAAGGAACTAGCAGACGAATTTGGCATCACCGACAACACCCTCGAAACCATGACAGTCAGTCTCTATGTGCTTGGCTTCGCGATTGGCCCTCTCATCCTCGCCCCTCTGTCCGAACTCTACGGTCGCCTGGCCGTCTACAACTTTTGCAACGTCGTCTACCTCGCCTTTACCTTTGGATGCGCCTTTAGCACCGATACGGCAATGTTTCTCGTTTTTCGATTCATCGCTGGCAGTGCCGCCTCTGGTCCGATGAGTATTGGTGGCGGTACAGTTGCCGACGTTACTGTGCAGGAGAAGCGAGGCAAGGCCATGGCTCTTTTCACCATGGGCCCTATCCTCGGACCGGTAAGTCGTATTAATCAGTGTTTTTTTTTCGCTTGCTTATAGTTGGAATAGATCCTTGGACCCCTAATTGGAGGCTTCGTGTCTCAGTACCTCGGCTGGCGCTGGACGTTTAGAATTATTCTCATCTTGGTGTGTACCTTCTATAAGTCGTGGCAAAGAACACCAGCTAATCCAAGGAAAAGTCTGGCATAATTACTACTGCCACGTTTGCTCTCATGCGCGAGACGAATGCAACGGTTATTTTGAGCAGAAAGGTTGCACAGCTGCGAAAGGAAACAGGCAACACGGATCTTGTGGCCGCCCGCGCTTCCAACCTTACTACCAAGCAGATGCTGCTGCGCGCCATCGTTCGCCCACTGAAGCTTCTCATCTTCTCGCCCATTGTTCTGCTCATCTCCCTCTACACGGGTCTCATGTTTGGTATCATCTTCCTCCTCTTCACCACGTTCCCCTCCGTCTTCCACGGCGTCTACGGCTTCGACCAAGGCATTTCCGGTCTTGCATACCTTGGTCTGGGCATTGGCATGTTTAGCGGACTCGTCCTATTCTCCGTGCTTAGCGACAAGCTTCTAGGCCAGAAGCAGGGCGGCGCCGTTGCGGCACCTGAACAGCGTCTCATTCTCATGAAGTGGTTTGGGCCCATCACCCCGTTGGGCTGCTTCATGTACGGCTGGAGCGCCTACTACCACACACACTGGATTGTGCCCATTATTGGGACAGCCATTATTGGTCTTGGCTCCCTCTTTGTCGTCATCCCTGGCCAGATTTACCTTGTTGATTCGTTCGGAGCTGCGGCTGCAGCGTCGGCAATGGCAGCCAACTTGCTCGTTCGTTCACCTTTTGGTGCCTTTCTCGACCTGATTGCCTCACCCCTATACAACAAGCCCGGTTTAGGATGGGGAAACAGCGTGCTTGGCTTCATTACTCTAGCCTTTACACCTGTCCCATGGCTTTTCTACCGCTACGGAGGATATCTCCGAACCAAGTTTACTATTAATCTTTAGATAAGCGAATAATGGTCCTGAAAGCTTCGAACTCTCGGTGCGTTGCCTTTGAACTTGCCATTAGCTGGACGTACACAAACTCACAACTCGATGAAGGCTTCTAGGTCTTGGTTTCTACGGTGAAGACATCGGTTGTGATCAGATGCAGGGCTGGTTTGACGGGTTGTGGACCTACCACGGGAATGACGGGATACTATACATTGAGCTAGGCTACAGAGCGGTCATCCCAATCGCAGACTTCTCGGAGTTCTTCTTCGTTCTTCTTTTTGAAGTAATCCTTGTATAGCGATGTGCTTGTAGGGTAACCACCAGGCACTAACAGCACCAGTGGAAGCGCAGGACTTACCCGCTAAAGCCAAGTCTGCCTTATTATTAGGTGCAAGTCACCCAATTGGAATCTCGCTAGCTGCATGGTGCCGAGACTGGCCACTATTTTTTGGCTTTCGGTCTAGCAAAAACAGCCGGCCCGGCAGTAGGTCTTACTAAAATCACCACGTTGCCTGCCTAGGTAGTGATTAGTGGGTTTTTATTAAGTACCTGTGTTAGCCCAGCATGACTATAGTAGGGTTTCAAAAGTCTATCACTACCTTAGGTTTCTTAGTAATAATATATATATTTAAAGCTAGAATAATAATAATAAAAGAATTACTAAAATTCTATTAAAATAGCTATAATATAGATTAGTACTTATAGCATTTTAAAATATTTATTATATAATTATATTGTTCTAATAAAACTAGGTATAGAAGATAGAAGGTAGGGTAATTTCCTTTTTTTTAAAAATAGTATAAATAATTTTAAATTTTTATAGAATAAAAATAGAATTAGATATAAAGATTTTTATATTAGAAAAGTAACTTTAGCTTTTAAATAATCTAACTTAACTATTATTTTTTTTTTATTTTTTAATAGTAACGATATAAGGAGTGTTTATTAGAGTGTGTTTGTGCGGGAAATCGTTGGAACCCCACTGTACCTTCAACGTCGGCTGCCTCTGAAGCCGGCTCCATTGCTGCCCTGCTTTATTATACCTAATTTACGCCTATCGCACACGTCATTGCCAGCTGCGGGCCTGACCTCGCTCTCCTCTCCGCCAAGGTTCTCTCGCACAGCTTCCACGAGCGTGCTTCCCCGAACCGCGCTACCCCTTGTGCCGCTTGAAATACATTTCCTCCCTCGTCTCTGCATTGCTATTTATATATTCATTGTACGTTGCGCGCCGAATCTTTGCCGGGTTGGCGTTGTCGCTAATATCCGTCGGCTCAACAGAGCCCGCCCCTCCATCGACTGCTTGACTACACGGCCGAACGTCATTCATCGCATTATCCCCTCACGACGACACAAATGTATTAATTCCCTTGACCTACGCCATCAAAATTCGGCGACCTAGATACTTGCACCCCTACTACGAACGAGACATCACCTACAACTAGCCTACAGTGTCCCGGCCCGGGTTACGGCTAAACATCAGTCGCCATGTTGGAAGGGCTTGTTGCCGGCCTCTTAAACCGCTTCCTTGGCATGTACGTCAAAAACTTTGACCCTACACAGCTCAAGGTCGGTATCTGGTCCGGTGACGTCAAGCTGCGCAATCTCGAGCTGCGCCGCGAGGCCCTGGATCAGCTCAAGCTTCCCATCAATGTTGTGCGTGGCCACCTTGGCGAGCTGACCCTCGTCATTCCCTGGTCCAACATCCGCGGCGCTCCCGTCAAGGTCTTCATAGAAGATGTCTACCTGCTCGCCAGCCCCAAGGAGGAGGCTGAGTACGATGAGGATGAGGAGGAAAGCCGCCGCCAGCGCGTCAAGATGGAGAAGCTCGACAGCGCCGAATTGCTCAAAGAACGGAACCGCGAAGGCATGAGTGCAGAAGAGCAACAAAAAAACCAGAGTTTTACGCAAAGTCTGGTCACAAAAATTGTCGACAACCTCCAGGTCACGGTCAAGAACATTCACGTTCGATACGAGGATTCCATCTCTACGCCAGGCCACCCCTTCGCCTTGGGACTTACCCTCGAAGAATTCAGCGCTGTCAGCACCGACGGCCAATGGAAGCCGACCTTCATCCAGGATTCATCCCATGTTACCCACAAACTTGCTACCCTCGGCGCTCTCGCTGTGTATTGGAACACTGATACTAGCCTATATGCCGATCAAGATCTAGACAGCATTCCTCGTGACGAAGTGCTTGCGAAATTTCGAAAAATGATTGGCAAAGCAGAAGCAGTCCATGGAAACCACCAATACATCCTGCGGCCCGTCAATGGACAGGCCAAAATCGAACTCGATAAGAGCGGCGATGCGCTAGTTCCAAAATTCAAGGCAAATCTACTATTTGAAGAAATTGGCTTGGTGTTGGACGACGACCAATACCGCGATGCACTGATGATGGTCGACCTGTTCCATTATTTCATACGCCATCAAGAATACAAGTCACTGAAGCCCAAGGGCGTCACTGTCAAAGATGATCCTCGAGCATGGTTCCAATTTGCTGGCAATTCAGTCTTAGGCAAAATCCACGAGCGAAACCGCAAGTGGTCCTGGGACTTCTTCCGAGAACGCCGCGATGACCGAATACGCTATATCGAACTTTTCAAGAAGAAGAAGCAACAGCAGCCACTGACACCCGAAGAAAATGAAGATATGTCAAAGCTCGAGTGGAAACTTGATTACGAAGATCTGCGGTTCTGGCGCTCGCTCGCCCGAAACCAGCTCAAAAAAGAGGATGCTGCGGCTCTTAAGAAGCCTCAACAACAGGAGCAGACAGGCTGGCTTGCATGGATGTGGGGATCCAAGCCCGAAGGCAACATCCAAGAAAACGAAGAAAACACGCAAATGACAGAGGAGCAGCGCAAGGAGCTTTACGACATGATTGATTGGAACGAAAAGACCGCAATCGCCGAATCTGTTGATCTACCCAGGGAAGCTATCAAACTTTGCCTGGAAGTCTCCCTTAGCACGGGTAGCTTTACACTGAAGAAGAATGCCAATAACAGGCCCACGGATCTTGTCAGTCTTCACTTTGACGTCTTCAAGGCGAAGGCTTTGCAAAGGACAGACTCAACACTGCTCAATGTTAGCCTGGGCGGATTGCGAGTCAACGATGGTACCACGGCCGATAGTTTGTACCCCGAGATTGTTCGTGTCAAAGATGCCCCGTCTAGAGAACGGCGAAAGAGATTGTCTTTGATCGAACTTGAAGCCTCAGAAGAGGAGCCCTTCTTCTCGTTCGAGGTGGAAAAGAATCCCCTGGAAAAAGAGGGCGATATTGCCGTTGTCGGGAAACTGAAGCCTCTTGAGATTGTTTGGAACCCAAATGTTGTTGTTGGCATCGTCGATTTCTTCAGGCCGCCGGAAAGACACCTAGAGTCTATCACTGCTCTTATGGAATCTGCCGGCGCCACTGTCGAGGGCCTCAGAGAGCAGACACGAGCCGGTCTCGAATTTGCCCTCGAAGAGCACAAAACCATCAACGCTGAGCTTGATTTGCAAGCACCCTTGATAATCGTACCCGTCAGCATTACAACCGACGACTCGACTTGTCTGATTGTCGATGCTGGTCATATTCATGTCAACAGCGAACTGGTTGAGAAGAGCACCATGAAGGAAATACAGTCCAAGCAAAAGCAGTCTTACAACGATGAAGACTTCAAACGCCTGGAGTCTGCAATGTACGACAGGTTTCTCGTGAAACTAACATCGACACAAGTCCTCATCGGCCCGTCTATCAAAGAGACAAAGCGGCACCTTTCACAAGGCGGATCTCAATTTCACGTTGTTGAGCAGATCAACCTTGATTTTGTCGTGGCTATATCGATCATCCCCAAGGCACCGAACCTGACAAAGCTGAAAGTATCTGGTCATTTGCCTCTCCTGCATGCGATGGTGTCCGACTCCAAATACAAAAACTTGATGCGAATCATCGACGTCGCGATTCCGAAATTGGGAGATGAGACCCCCCAGCCCCAGCCGACGCGTATATCACGCCCACGAGCGACTAGCTCAATGTCCAACAAGTCTCGCCGAAAAACTGTACAAGAGAAGCGTCTCTCATCTGCCCTTGATGTCTTGCAGCCGCATACTGCTGTTGTATTGGGTGATATCGACGATGACGACGAAGACAATTTTCAAGATGCCACCGATGGTACGGCCAACGAGCACTTGAAAATCCAGCAGCGTATTTTCCAGTTTGACTTCAAAGTCGATACTCTCAAGGGTTCTCTGTTCCGAAGCGACCCTGAGAGAAAGAAGCCAGATACTCTACTTGTGGAGCTCGTTGCTGAACGTTTTGACTTGGCGTTCTATACCAGACAATACGATATGGCTGCCGAAGTGTCCCTCGGTGCGGTCACCGTGGATGACTTTGTTGATAACCCCTCTGAAGAATTCAGGTCCATAGTCTCGTCTGGAGACAGCGACGACTTACAAGCGGGCCGAAGTCTGGTGAATGTCAAATTTATAAGAGTCAAAAAGGAATCACCAGAATTCATGCCCGTATATGAAGGGATTGAGACGAACATCACAACATCGGTGTCAACCATCAACCTAATTGTCACCAGAAAAACACTACTCACACTTCTCGATTTTATTTTGATTACATTCACTAATCCTGACGAGGAATCAGAAGTCATTCAAAGGACAGCGCCAGACTCGGATGAAAGCTCGTCGGATGGAGAGGAGCAGTTAACCGAGGCCAACAAAAATGCCGCTGCAGGCTCTATTCGCGTCAAGATTGACCTCAAGAGTATTCGTTTGATCCTGAATAACGACGGAATCCGACTCGCGACGCTCTCCTTTAACAAGGCGGACGTTGGAATCTTCCTACGCGGCAAGTCGATGCGCATATCTGCTAAACTCGGAGACTTGCAACTTCTCGACGATGTCAATCAGGGAGTTTCTGAGGACTCGAACCTTCGCAAGCTGGTGACAATTCAAGGGGACGATTTGGCCGACTTCAGATACGAGACTTTTGACCCAGCAAATATCAAGGCTTACCCAGGCTATGATAGCTCCATCTTCCTGAGGGCCGGTTCGGTGAAGGTAAACTTTCTGGAAGAGCCTTTTAGAAAAATCATCGACTTTCTTGTCAAGTTTGGTAAGATGCAAGCGCTTTACAACGCGGCTCGTCAAGCGGCTATGAACCGTGCGAACCAGATTCAACAGAGCCCAAGTAGGATTCACTTCGATGTTGTGGTAAATACACCTATCGTCGTTTTCCCCAGAGTCGTTCTTCCTGGCGAGGCCAAGAGAGATGTTATTACAGCCTACCTCGGTGAGATTTACGCACAGAACAAGTTCGCACCCATCGACGACAGTGCCAATGCAGATGTCGCCATGATGATATCTGTAGGTATCAGGAATATTAAGCTCACCTCAGAATTGAACTATTCTGACGGAAGAGCCGAAGAATTGGAGATGATTGACCAAGTCGACCTCGGTTTCAGCATTACACATGCGGAACACACGCCCGGCATCAAACGCGCCGACACGGAGATTGAAGGTTCCGTTTCCGACATCAAACTTCGTCTTACACAACACCAGCTGCGGTTCTTAATGGAGATTTCACGGTCTGTCCCGGCCGCCTTTGCTGGGGAAGGCGATGATGCAGAGGCGGAAGCTGCCAAGATGGTCGACGAAGGCACTCTCGAGCACGCTAAGAACGCTCCACCAGTGCAGAACAATGAATCAGACCAAACACTGGTAGATCTGTCTCCCGAGCTCTCCTCCATTGAAAATGCCTGGACAACTCTCGATCTTGTGTTCAAGGCGAATAGCATCGGGTTGGAACTGATTTTGGCTGCCGAGGAAGACGAACCCCTTGGCGATCTGTCTGCATCAAGTTTGTCGCGTTTCTCTCTGGACGAGACCAAAGTCAAGACACGAATGCTTTCCGACGGATCACTTGAAGCAGAGCTTCTGATACAGTCATTTTCTATCTTCGATACTCGTCCGCGCGACTCGAATAAGTTCCGTCGCATCATGACATCGAACAATAAAGAAGCACAGCAGTTGACGGCCAGTGTTACCATGACAGGTGGCAGAGAGAGGAATTTGATTGCGATGGCAACAATTGACAACCCCAGAGTCATCTTTGCCTTGGATTATCTGTTTGCTATTCAGAAGTTTGCTTCCGAGGGCCTGATGGTTGACGAATCAAGTCCCATGGATGATGAGAGTATTGGAGAGACTATTGACAGCTCTGATCCGGAGTCAACACAGCTCACTCGGACGGGTTCTGAGTCTCGAGTGTCTACCTCAATCGCGTCGAGACGGACAGACGCGACCGAGCAGAATATCCCAACGGCGGAAGCCCAAAAGCCAATCATAAACATGGCGTTCCGTGTCAACCTGGTGGATGCGCAAGTCATTCTCATTGCCAATCCAGTCACTTCCAGCTCTGAAGCTATTGTACTTAGCATCAGACGGGTCCTTTTATCGAAGCAGCATGCACTTACCTTCCAAGTCTCACAAATCGGCATGTTCCTCTGCCGCATGGATCAGTTTGAGACGTCAAGATTGCGGATCATCGACGATTTCTCCATCCAATTGAACATGGACAGCTCTCAACTGGAGTTGACTAATATTCACTTGCAAATCGAGCCACTCATCCTGCGCCTGTCCCTACGTGATATCCTTCTCGTGCTCCAAATTATTGGCAAAGCAAGTGAGCTGTCAGGCATTGATTCGAAAGAACCAGAAGAGACTGCTGCCGAGCAAAAAGCTCAAAGGCTCCGTAAAGCAGGCCTGAGCCAGAGAGCGTCTAGTGGCCGCACATCGACTATGGCCAAAACCAAAGCTACAAAAACGACAGCAGCTAAGACTAGCAAACCAGTCCAGACTGTGAGCAGAGCTATCACTAGACGCGAAGAACTATCTGCGACTGTCGAGGGCGTGCGTGTTGTCCTAATCGGTGACTTGCACGAACTGCCCATCCTTGATATTGGGATCAAAGACTTCACCGCCACTGCTGAAAACTGGTCGTCAAGTCTCAAAGCCGAAGCCGCCGTTGACATGTACTCCAATGTCTACAACTTCTCCAAGTCCAGCTGGGAGCCGCTTCTGGAACCCTGGCAAGTCGGATTTGGTGTCGCGCGCAATCCCAAATCGGGACTGCTTTCCATCGATGTCACCTCCAAGAAGACCTTTGACATCACCGTCACCACAGCCACGATTGCTCTTGCCTCAAAGTCGTTCAATTTCCTCACAACTGAGCAAGATGTTCTTGGGAAAGCTCGCGGAACAGAAGCGCCCTACAAGATTCGAAATTATACCGGCTTTGAGGTATCTCTTGAGTCGAAAAGCCCAATCAGTGAGGAGCCGATCACATTGCGCCTAGATGACGGCCAAGAAGGCCCGTGGAGCTTTGAACACTGGGAAAAGATGCGAGAGAACCTCTTGACTGAAGCGAATCAAAACAGCGCCGTCATCCAGCTGGAAGGCAGTGGCTTTGACCCTGTGAAGAACGTACTTCTGAACAGAGAGGGCGAATTTTTGTATGGACTTCGACCGAAAGCCAACGGAATCCTTCACCGGCTTTGTGTTGAGGTGACTCTCGGCAGCGACAACGTCAAATACGTGACTTTGCGCTCTCCCTTGGTTGTGGAAAATGCGACGCAAATCCCTGTCGAGCTCGGCGTTTATGATACCCAAGAGGGACACCTTCTGAAAATTGAGAAGATTGCGCCAGGCGAGTCGCGACCTCTCCCAGTCGGCGCTGTGTACGAAAAGTCAGCGCTGGTTCGCCCCGATGGCGGATTCGGGTATCAATGGAGTACTGACAAGCTATGGTGGCGCGATTTGCTGAAACAACCGACAAAGCAACTTGTTTGCAAAGGTGGCAATGGGGACCCTTTCTATTTCCAAGCTCATGCAGAGTTCAGCAAATCGAACCCCATGACGCGAACCTATCCTTACATGAAGATCAAGCTCTCTGCCCCAGTCACCATTGAGAATCTACTGCCATACGATTTCAAATACAGAATCTATGACAAGAACACGAAGAAAGATTGGTCCAACTTCTTGCGTAAAGGAGGCGTTAGTCCTGTCCATGTTGTCGAGCTTTCGCATCTGTTACTTTTGAGCATCGACATGCAAGATACTGTCTTCAAAGCAAGCGACTTCTCAATCATCAACCCAGGCAAAAGCGAAGACTTCCGCAAGGAGACCAAGCTTGTGGTCAAGGATGATCAAGGCCTGCCCCTCAACCTCAGCCTGCATTATTTCAAGATACCCAAGAGTGGTGGGGCTTTCAAAGTTACCATTTACAGTCCCTATGTTGTCCTGAACAAATCCGGGCTGGACTTGAACATCAAGGCCAAGAGTTTCTTGCAAAATGCCCGAGCCGCAGCTGGTCAGTCTGCACTTGTCAGCCGCTTCGATGACGAAAATGCCAAGGCGCTGCCGTTCATGTTCTCCTATGGCAGCAGCGAGGATAATCGGAATCGCGCTCTGCTCAAATTCGGGGACTCAGAATGGAGTAAACCACAGAGCTTTGACGCCATTGGAAGTAACTCGGAAGTGGTTCTCAATTCCGCTACTAAAAATAAAGAAATCCACATCGGTATTACTGTCAACTCTGGAGAGGGTAAATACAAGATGACGAGAGTCGTGACACTTTCGCCACGGTTCGTGCTCGAGAACAAGCTTGGCGAAGAAATCTATGTTCGGGAGTCAAGCTCGCCCGGATTCCTGACTCTGGCTCAAGGAGCGCTCCGGCCCTTGCATTTCATGCAGAAGGGCTCCGTCAAGCAGCTAAGTCTTTGCTACGCCGGCGTCGATAGTCACTGGACGGCACCATTCAATATCGCAGACATTGGCACTACACATATCAAGATTGCCAAACCTGGTCAGCGCCAACGCCTCATTCGCGCCGAGGTTCTGATGGAAGACGCTACTTTGTTCGTCCAACTGAGCATGGAAACAAAGAACTGGCCCTTCTCGATCCGCAATGAAAGTGACACCGAGTTTACGTTCTACCAAGCCAACCCTACGGTTGAAGAGGATGATGACGAGGACAGAAGTGGTTGGAAGCCAATTCGCTACAGACTTCCACCGCGAAGCATCATGCCCTATGCTTGGGACTTTCCCGCCGCGAAATTTCGGGAACTTGTAATTGCGTCGGGTGGTAAGGAACGTCACGTCAAGTTGGCCGAGATTGGCAATCAAATCCCCATGAAATTCCTCGGGTCCAACGCGCAGCAGAAGATTATCGACATCAACGTCGCGGCAGATGGACCAACTCAAACACTGATCCTCAGCAACTTCCGCACTAGCCAGAGTGTGTATAAGCCGAAGGCTTTGTCGCGGACAAACACTGCAACGGATGGCTTCGAAGTCAAGGACCAAGATACCGGACAGACATTCCGCGCCCAACTGAAATTGTCAGGTATTGGTCTGTCGCTGATCAACTCTCAACTGAAAGAGCTTGCATATGTTAGTCTGAAGGACGTACAGCTTCGTTACAGCGATTCTCCCGTTATTCAAACTGTTGCCTTGGAAATCAAGTGGATCCAAATCGATAACCAACTGTACGGCGGCATCTTCCCCATGGTTTTGTACCCAAGTGTGGTGCAGAAGAGGGCGAATGAGGTCGACGCTCACCCGTCGCTGCATGCAATGGTCAGTAGAGTCAAGGATGACTCCTACGGTGTCACATATATCAAGTATGCATCTATTCTGTTGCAACAGATGACTCTCGAGCTGGACGAAGACTTTATTTTCGCTCTTCTCGACTTTTCGAACGTCAAGGGTGCCAGTTGGACCATGGTGGATGAAGAAGGCAAACTCTGTGACGAGAGTCTCGATATTCCCGAACCACGCCAACTGCAGGCCGGACAGGACATATACTTTGAGGTTCTAAATATTCAGCCAATGCAGGTTGATCTCAGTTTCATGAGAACGGAGCGTGTCAATGCCGAAGACAAGACTTCAACACGCAATCCGCTCATGTTTGTGCTGAATGTCTTGACCATGGCTCTTGGCAATGTCAACGACGCACCGATTCGTTTCAACGCCCTCATGCTAGACAACGTGCGTGTTACACCGCAGGTCTTGATACAAAACATCTCCAACCACTACAGTCAAGAAGTCATGTATCAGATCCACAAGATTCTCGGTTCAGCCGATTTCTTAGGTAATCCCGTTGGCTTGTTCAACAACATTTCCTCAGGAGTTACAGACATCTTCTACGAGCCTTACCAAGGACTGATTCTATCGGACAAGCCCGAAGAATTTGGACTCGGTATTGCCAAAGGTGCCGCATCATTTGCCAAAAAGACTGTATTTGGCTTCAGTGACAGCTTCTCCAAGTTCACCGGCAGTCTTAGCAAAGGTCTGGCGGCAGCATCGCTGGACAAGCAATTTCAAGACCGCCGTCGCATTACGCGGGCGAGAAACCGACCGAAGCATGCACTTTATGGTGTTGCTGCAGGCGCCAACAGCTTATTCACCAGTGTTGCGTCTGGTGTCGGCGGCCTGGCTAGCAAGCCGCTCGAGGGCGCTGAGCAAGAAGGCGCGTTGGGCTTCTTCAAAGGTGTCGGAAAGGGTGTACTTGGTCTCGCAACGAAGCCAGCCGTAGGTGTCCTAGATATGGCCAGCAACTTGAGTGAAGGTATTCGCAACACCACGACAGTCTTTGATGGAACAGAGTTGGACCGCACACGATTCCCACGCTTCATTTCCAACGACGGTGTTGTGCGCCCGTTCAATGCCCGTGAAGCCATTGGCCAGTACTGGCTCAAGCAAGTCGATAACGGCAAGTACTTTGACGAGCAGTACGTTGGCCATCTCGAGCTTCCCCGCGAGGACATGGTGGTTATGGTGACGTATGCGCGCATTCTGCTTATCCGCTCGAAGCGTCTTACGAGTGAGTGGGACATTCCGCTCAAGGATATCCAGACCATCGCCAAGGAGCGTACCGGAGTCAGTCTCATTCTGCGCGGCGGCGCTAACGGGCCGTTTGTGCCAGTCGGAGGCGGCAGCGAAAGAAATTTCTTGTACAAGATGGTGGGAGTCGCCGTGGAGGAGTTTAATCGGCGGTTTAGAGGAGGCGAGTAACCACATGGCGACTGTTGCTGTCGGGGGATGAAAAGAGATGACGAGAAGGAAAATGTGCACTAGTTTTTGATGGGAGTCTGATTATGCGACGAAACCCTATTTTTGTCCTTGTTTGTTGTGCATATGAGAAGAGAGTAGTGGCGATATTATTATCATGAATGATGTACGATGAAAGTATCCTTGCAGTAGAAATACTGCGCATCCAGTATTCCATTACGTCTTCATTCCATGTTTGCTCGTGCATGGGTGTGTGCTGGGTCGTGTTACATGCGAGGTAAGTCAACAGGATAACAAAGATGAATTGGATAGAGAGAGGAAGAAATAGTAAAAATAAAGATAATATTATTGCAGACTAGTGGCTTTGTAAATCCCCCTCACAGCTCCTGGTCAGGATCGCATACCTTCCCGAATATACTTTTCTTTCATGGCACAAGATGACGTCGAGGGGACCGATCTGAGTGCAAGTGCAAGTTCCGTACCATTTATTTTACAATGGGCCTGGTCGTATCACCCTTCACATCTTCTCCCTGTTCCTCTTTACAAAAGAGATCCAAGGTAGTAGAGGACCTGGTATGAATAGGGCACCAGTTAATTTTCCCCGAAGCCAAAAGGTGCCAGAGCGCGAAGCTTTTTGTGCTGTATACTGGCGCGAAGTATGCGGCCAATACCTCTAATTACAGACACCCTGTTCGGATGGCTGTGCGGCAAGCTCAAGTAACACAACAAGGAACTGGACAAATCGAGACGCACCCAGAGAGTGCCACCAATCGTCCGATTGATGTTCAAGCCCAAATCCTTCCCGTGTTCGTGCCACTCGGCATTCAAGAACGGATGTTACCCCGCGCCAAAACGTAATGCCGTCGCGTGTCTACTTGCCAAACCTGGGGAAAATCGATGTGGGGGGAGGCTGAGTGAGAGGGATACGAACCATTAGAGCCGGAGCTGGCCGACAAAAATGCTTTCCCCTTCATGCCCCCTTGCTCTATGCGATGTAAATAGTTCACTAAGTGGGCGGAGACTATTACTTCCGGGGAGAGTATGGGGTAAAAGGAAGGGCGTGGAGATGATTTCAGGCAGGATGCCCATCGCGGCGATCTTGCAGCAAAGCCATGCATTTTATTGCTAGTTGTGTGCGTACACTCTTGTAGCGTAGGACGCACAAGAGGGTCCTTTTGTGTCGCTTCTTTGACTTTCTTTATCTTGCTCCTGGGGCGACTCGGCTTTGTCAAGGGCCCGGTATCTTTTGTAGGCCGACGAGTTCTGAGGCCGGGAGATAAACGAGAGGTCAACCTGGACATAGCGGCTGAAGAAATGGGGCATTGTCATCGAGCTGATTAAGACTCCGTGGTTGGCTGGTGTTTGTGCGCTGCGAGATATGATTGCGACGCAAACCGCCGACTGAAGGTCCTTGGGGAGCGCCTCCAAGCTAGTTGCAAATACAAGTGGCCCTAAAAAATGTAGTACCTTATCGGGCTTGCGCCTCAGGCGGTGGCTGGTGGTGGCGGCCATGGCTTTGCATCGGAGCCGGCCGACACACAAACGGCCAAGGGCTTGGAAAGGATGGCTTGCAGCCACAACGAACGAGCGGTAACTGCACCCGCAACTCTATTCCGACAACGTGAGGCGCGCGCACGATCGGGCATGTTGAGTGAGATTGTGACTGCCTGGCTCGCTGCGGAGAAAGAGTGAACGGTGGCAATCACAGCAGGACCCTGTTAGCGCCGCTGCGCCTCTGGCGACTCTGTTGCGTGGCCGAGGCTGTTGTCACATTGATCTGGTGGCGGAATGGCGCTGCCATCCTGCAATAGCCACGCCATACCCACACGGCGCCCCCAAAAGACCCGCACGGGCAAGTCTGGGGTGCCATGAGTTGAGGTAAAAAATTTGACACCACGAGACCAAGAAACGGAGGGGGTTGACGGGGTCGACGATTGCGAAGGATGACGCGGAACTGCCATTTGACAAAATGGCCATCTTCATCTGTATTTGCTTCTCGCTTCACTTTACGCACATGGTGCATTCTCGTAGCTGCAAACGACTTGGCTGACTTGCTGCCATATTATTCGTCGCTGTGCGCGATAAGAGTGCGGTGGCCGGCTGGTCGCCTAAGCAGCAATCTCACTGGGCGCCGCCAGCCGTGGACTTCTTCTTTAGGGCACAAGCCCGGCGAGGTGGCGGAACCAAAAGTTCCAGTAGGTTCCCATTTTGGGGGCAAGTGCTGATCGCTTGGGACATGGCTTGCGGGTGGCGACAGGGGGAGCCAGTTTTCGCGCGGATGTCTTGAGCCAAGTGGAAGTGGCGTTGGCAACCTTTTTTTTCTTCTCGTTTGCCGCTGATACGGATATCGCTGGGCTCTTCAGGTAGCAAGCAACCTTTTCGAGTTCGGCATCTAGGAGCTAAGGAGCAAATTTTTTCTTTAGTGAACCTAGTGCATAATTTATAGAATTTTCGAGACTCGTACTTGGATTTTTAGGCGGTCGTAGGTCTGGGGATGCGCCCAGCACGCGACCCGCAAGAAGAACGAGGTGAGATCCACAGCTCGGTGTCAGTGCAGGCTTATCTCGGCGGCTGGCTGGTTGATGATAGGCAAGTCGACGGACTCGAGAGCTGCGAGGATGCGATAGGGGCCTTGGGTGTAGCGTGTATGTAGAGGTGAAAATGAATAGAATGATAGCTTATGCAGAGGCAATGTCAGATAGATGAGACGATAAACGGCATGGGACATGGGTAGCGTAGCAGCTGGCAGCAACCCGTCCTGGCAGCTGGCAGAACCAAGTCGGCGTTTGCCTGTTTTGCCCATACAGAAATACTTCGAGTTCATATCAGAATATTTTAATGCTTCAACCCACAACCTTAATTCCCCATACAGTTTTTGCTATACATACCAAACCGTTTGAACTAGTGGAGAAACACGAGACAGACTGACCCAAGGCAAGTCGACAAAAATACAACATGTGAGTGGTCGGAACTGCTAACAACCTACGGCGCGGGCTAATGGAACTGGGGACGGAAAGAAGCCGCAAGCTGAACGAAGAGGGATAGGGCGATCGACTTGGGTGTGAGACTCATAGACAAGGATCCTCATCCCGTCAATCAGCGTCTAACTACTAATACAACCACCTTGCTGGGACGAGGCGCTGCCGCGAGGTCGCAACGAGCCTACCATGCGAGCCCCAGCATCTAGATTTCCTGCAAGACCAGCGCAAAACAATGACGCCTCCGATGGCCAAGGAGCAGCAACCCGTCATCTCAGACCCCGATACATAGACGGCGACGTACGGAGTACAGACAACAATCGAAAATCTGCGATACCACTGGCATTACACTGCAGGGACTTTACTTCCCCACACGGACTTATCATTGCGGCGCGGTGCTGAAGCCTATTTGCCTATCCAGCCCGCGGCGCTCCTAGTCTGGCCCCTCGGCCCCCGCTTCATTGCAAAAAAGGGCCCTTGTCTTGTCGGAGACCAAGAGACTTGGATGGCTCTGCGCTGGGCTAGTGGACTAGTTGCAGCCATCGTCGCGGTCCAGCTCCACGTCCGCTTCTGTCTTGCGCTCCGGCCTGCGTCGCGAGCACTAGAAGGACCTTCTAAAGGAACCCATCCAGAGTGTCTCCCATTCCTTCCCGGCTCACCCCAAGCTACGCCCGGCGACCCCGGTGGATACAAAAACTCGAGTGTGCCGTCACGCAGACACCTTCCTGCTGCTCTCCAGGTTCTTTTCCTCCGTCCTGTCTTCCTCCTCCTCTCCCTGCCTTTGGTGTAGGACAGCTTCGGTGGCCCCTCTGCTCTTTTTTGCTGGCAACCAGCAATCTCACTTGTGAGCCCTTTGCGACAATTGCTGATGCAACTCCACCTTGCGCCTGCTCAAAAGTACACTCTCCTACGTCGCCACCCCGTCTACCGACAGCCCGCATAGTGGGCGATCAAAAGGAAGAAAAGGGCTAGGAATTTCCTCTCTTTTATCCGTGCTCAACGACGCCCCGAAACCTTTCACCATGGCCGACACTCATCACAACGCCGAGCCAGCGGCGCATGAGACCACACCTGGTATGCGCCGCAACTCTGACCCGGCTCTTGAGCCCTCACATCAGCATACCCATGGCCATCTTCACCACGCGCCTGGCGTCGCACCCACAAACGATGTCATATACACAAAGGGAACCGATCTCCCGATGCACAAGCACACTGACGGTGCCGGTTCTGGTACCCCGCCCTACTATAGCGAAGAGGAGAAGCCACAGCCTGGCATCTTGGCCCAGGACGACATCGAGGGCCAATCTGAGTACAAGTCCAAGTTCCGTACCTTTTACGATGGGCCTGGTCGTATCATCGTCCACCTCTTCTTCCTGTTTTTCTTTACCGGTTGGTGGATTGCCTCTCTGATTTTGCATCGCAAGGACAAGAATTGGATCGTTCCCTTCCTTTTTTGGCTCTGCATCACTCTGCGCATCGTCTTCTGGCACGTTCCCAGTCGCTATGTCAGCAATGCAATCCGCAGCGGCTGGAAGCACAGTGCCGTCGTGGTTTACTACAGGATCCCCGCGAAGCTACGCACGCCTGCTGGCGCTGCAGTCACCATTGCTGCCATGCTCGTTGGCTCCTTTGTCACTAATGAAAGCGTCAACAACACTCGCGGCAATCGTGCCATTAGTCTGCTCGGAATGGGCATCATTATCTTTGGCTTTTGGCTCACCAGTGCCAACCGACGCAAGGTCAACTGGCGGACTGTCATTGGAGGCATGCTTGCCCAGTATATTATTGGATTGTTTGTTCTTCGCACCAACGCCGGCTACTCCATCTTTCGCTTCATCGCGGACCGCGCCAGTGATTTGCTTGGGTTCGCCAAGGATGGTGTCGCATTCTTGACTGATGCTGACACGGCTGCCAAGCCTTGGTTCTTCATCGGTGTTATTCCTGCTATTATCTTCTTCATCTCTCTTGTCCAGGTTCTCTACTACTTTGGATTTTTGCAGTGGTTTATCACCAAGTTTGCCACCTTTGTTTTCTGGGCCCTTGGTGTATCCGGTGCCGAAGCCGTTGTCGCTGCTGCTACCCCCTTCATCGGTCAAGGAGAGTCTGCGATGCTGGTCCGGCCCTTCGTCCCGCACATGACCAATGCTGAGATTCATCAAATTATGACATGCGGTTTCGCAACAATTTCAGGCTCCGTTCTTGTCGGTTACATCGGTCTCGGTCTGGACAAGGAAGCTCTCGTTTCCTCCTGCATCATGTCTATCCCGGCCTCGCTCGCGATTTCCAAGCTCCGCTACCCTGAGTCGGAAGAAACCCTTACTGCTGGTCGCGTCGTGATCCCTGATGATGATGAACACAAAGCTGAAAACTTTCTGCACGCCTTCTCTAATGGCGCTTGGCTCGGCATCAAGATTGGCGGAACCATTGTTGCGTCGCTTCTCTGCATCATTGCTGTTGTCGGCCTTATCAACGGTCTACTTACCTGGTGGGGCCATTACTTGAACATCAACGACCCCAAGTTGACGTTGCAGACCGTTCTGGGCTACATTCTCTTCCCCGTTGCCTTTTTGCTTGGTGTGCCCCAGAACAAGTATGAACTTCTCAGCGTCTCTCGTCTTATTGCAGAGAAGATTATCACCGTAAGTTTACCATGTCAGACTGCAGTTTTGAAACCCATTTCTAAGAATTCTTGCTACTATAGAACGAGTACAATGCCTTTAAAGCGCTCATCACCGATCCGCAATATGCCGCCCTCAGCCCTCGCTCTCAACTGATTGCAACCTATGCTCTCTGCGGTTTCGGCAACATCGGCTCTCTCGGTATTCAGATTGGTATTCTGTCCCAACTGGCCCCGGCTCGTGCTGGCGATGTTTCGCGTTTGGCCTTCTCCGCCCTCGTTTCCGGTGTCTTTTCCACCCTCACCTCGGCCGCTGTTGCAGGTCTTGTCGTCACCAACCAGGGTACGATTCTCAGTTCGAGTTAGAGTGTAACAGGAATGAATGCACGGCGTCGCCTCGCACCGTGTAAAAGAATTAAGTAAAATAGCGATTTCGACATCGTTTTTCTGTAGTGTATACGCAGTTATGAGATATCCACCTATATGGGCATTCACTAAGGCTTGAATATCAATCATGCTTTTGACTTGCATGTGCTGCAGATGGAAGTGAGCAATCAATCGGCGAGATACTGGATGCATCATGGCCCTCGTATTTACCTCAAGATACGCTGTGTGACTATCTACCCCACAATACCCCGCGGTCCCGACTACCGGAGCCGGCGCCGAAATCTAGTCATAAAAGCATCGCCCGCCACCCGCCACCATCTCAAAATCTACACTGTACACCATTTTTACAGACGGCTGGCTGCGCGGCCGCCCCCCTCCCCCCATCGACAATGGGAACAGTGTCGCACAGAAAATACATCCGATGGTATCCCGATACAGCATCGGAGCCGACATCGACAGTGGTCCTGACATCACCAGAGAACCGTTTTGTGGATTTGCGTATTCTGCTGCCCCCAGACGGCGCGGCCAAAATCAGCAACGACCCCAGTCCGTCCCCCAATCCCCAATCCCCAATCCCCATCATTTTGAACACGGTGTTTCCTCCCTGCTAACACGGCAACGCAGCCGGCCAACTCCCCCTCGACCGACTCGACTGGGCCATTGCCGGCACGACCGTCTCCGAGGCCGCGACGGCGCCGGGCGGCGAAGCGATCCGGCGCTCCACCTTTCACCACTGGGTGAGCTCGCGCAACGCGGACCCGACGGGCGTGTCGGACGTGGGCGACATGTACCCGCAGCCCGACGGCACGACGCTGGAGCGCGGCGCCATGCTGAACCTGGCGACGGGCGCCGTGACGGAATACGACGAGCTGTGGGCCGACCTGCTGGCGCCGACGAGCGACCCGATTGCGGTGCTGCGCGTCGACGACGGCGCGGTCAAGGGCATGGTCATCTGGATCGGGCAGCTCTGCCAGGCGCTGGTGCGGGACGAGCGGGGCATTACGCTGGAACGCTGGGAAAAGATGGAAGCTGCTGGGGGCGGGGAGGATGATGAGGTCGACGAGGACGTGTGGACGAGGACGGTGCGCATGGGCGAGAGGGAGCTGCCGTGTGAGGACGTCCTGACGGGCAAGGTCAAGCTGGAAAAGGATGGCGATGTTGCTTGCGGGGGAGACGTGTGGCAGGTCATTGAGCTTGATGGGTGAGGAGAAGAGCATGTTGTATTCCACTGTATAAGCTTGACTGCCTGAGATTCATAGTTTGGCGCACAGGCGCTCAAGAATACGATTGCTTGGTATTGGTTCCCTACTCTTTGTGGAATGAATTTGGTTTGAGAATTTTACCTCTATTGTCTTCCTCGTTGTAAAATGAATTTAGCTTGAAGCTTCTGCCTCTATTGTCTTCATCTTTGTATAATGAATTCGGCTTCCACGTTTTACCTCTACTGTATCGGCTGCTCTGGGCCGCGGTCAAGCGCCAACCCGGTAGAAAAGATGCTTTCACGATCGGCCTCGGTCAGTGGGATCCCGAACCACTTCTCCAGCGCCGCGATCCTTTCCGCCTCGGTCGTGGCGGTGTCCACGACGCGCCTCTCCATGCTGCCCTCGCTCCTGCGGCGGACCTCGTCCCGCCAGTAGGTCAGCATGCCGGCCAGGCGCACGTCGCCCGGGGTCGCGGGGTCGGGCGCGACGAGTGCGCGGACGGCGAGCAGGTGCGGCATGAAGAAGCTCTGCGGGTTGGTGCTGGTGTAGTAGTTCATCTGGTGGTAGTCGGCGGCAAAGTGCTCGAGCTCGACGAAGCAGTACTGCTCGACCCACGGCGCGGCGTCGTCGTCGAGGCTGTCGCGCGTCGAGTACACCCACAGACGCTGCGTCGGGTCCGTGTGCAGGTCGATGCTGCGGTACTCGAGGCGGCCGCGGCGCGGCGCCAGCACGGTGAACTCGGTGCCGGAGATGAGCGGGAACGGCTGCATGGCGGCGTCGCCGCCGTAGCCGACGTCGGCGACGTACCGCGCGCCGTCTATCGTGACGAGCAGGCACATGTGGGACCTTGGAGCCCCCCCGGGAAAGGGGGAATGTGTTGGTACGGGACGACAGACGGCGGGAGAGAAGGAAGTCAGACGCACCAGCCTGTGTACTTGTCATTGCCGGCCCGCACGCGGCCGCCGACGGTGAGCACCGTGTACCCGAGCCCGCGCAGGATGGCGGCAAAGAGGGCGTTGAGCTCGAGGCAGTAGCCGCCCTTGCTGCGGACGACAATCTTGTCAAACAGGTCGTCGAGGGCCAGCGATAGTCGGTGCGTCGGGTTGTAGTGCAGACCGACGTTCTCAAAGGGCACGCGGGCGACATGGTGCAGCATCAGCTGCTGCAGGCGCCGCAAGGGGTCGGCGGCATGCTGGGACCGGGGATACTCGATGTGGGAGAGGGCCCGGTCGAGCTGCTCTTCTGTGAGGGACATGTCTGGGGGCGGGGTGGTTTTGTTTTTTTTTTTTGGATTTTATGCTTGGAATTGGGGTCTGGATAATGAGGGAAAACAAAACCGCTCATCAACTGCGACTTGTTCCGGCGCTGGTGAGGCTGCATTTATAAGCCCGGACGGGGGAGGAAACAAACGTGATCAGGTTTTAGGTTTGAATGGCGGATGATGCACCTCCGGTTGGTGCACTCTTGGAGTGCCCCTAACGGAAGTTCCGCTCAGTCCAGAATAATCAGACGTTACTTTCCAGCATAGTTAAATTTCGAAGTATATACGGATACGACTGACAGTAATTTGTAATATTCCTGTATTTATACCTTAAAAGGATCGAAATATAGGCAAGTGCTCCTACCCTAGATGACTAAGCGACTCAACACGATGTAATATATACGATTTTACCGTCGTACAATACTGGTTGCCTTTGTCCTCCTCATCAACTCCCAGATTTTGTCATGGTCAATATACACCATCATGTCTAGCTCCGTCATTCAGACTCAGACTCCAGCGCCCGCGCCCGCGCCACCTCCACCACCCCCGCCGCTGCCTCCCTCTCCTTCTCACAACACGCATCCGAAGAAGCTCGCGTTGAAAGTGAGGAGCGCGTCACCTGGCTGGTCCTATCAATCGCCTCGACAGATCGATTATACCGAACTTAAGACTGGCCCGTACTTCTTTTACGGCACACTGATGGACCCCGGAATGCTGGCAGAGATCCTGAAGTTGAGCCACGAGCCCATACTACGACCAGCAAAAGTATTCGGATACACGGGCAAGCTTTGGGGCCAGTATCCTGCCGTTGTTGAAGGAGAAGCGGGCGCTACTGTCTGTGGTGCTGCATACAATGTCGAAAGTGTCGAGGATGCTAGGAAGCTTGCTGCGTACGAAACTTGCAACTATCAAACAAAGGCTTGCAAGATACTTTATACCGATGGAGAACAACCTGAAATGCAGCACGGTCGGCTTTTCGTGTTTGCAGGAAATCCGAGTGACTTGGAAACCGGTGCATTCGACTTGTCAGTATGGCTGAAACGAGTTGGGAGGTGAGTGGCCCCGTAGCCGCAGCCTCACGGCGGGCCAGTTCCGAGAGTGCACAGGTTTATCAAGGATGAGCAATGACAAGAGACTTGAATACAAGCATCTTCGGAGATGGATGGAATTTTCTTTCACGATTTTTTGTCAAGAAACCGAGGGTGTACCGTTGCAAGGCTGGCTGATGGTTGTGCTTGGTGAGCGAGTCCGTGGCCGCTTGTGGCGTAGGGTCCGTCCCGGTGCTCGGCGGCTCGGCATCCCGAACCAAGCGCGAGCTTGCTGCTGCAGTAAAGCAGATTTAATATTGTGGCCTGGAAACAATATATCGGGGCAATGAAATTCGAAGTACAGATTCCATCGTGACAACGTAGGGTAAAAACGTGTACTAGCCGCAGTCTACTTAACGTGTCGGATGACGCACCTGCGAACAGCGACTGATGAGGACAAAGAGAAGAAGGGAAAGCCTGAAAAGAAGAACGACTATGAGAGTAAAGAATATGCCACGAATAAAGGGGATGATAGTATAGTAATACCAATTGTAAAGTATCAGTGGTGTGTTCTACCAACTATAATGGTCATTGTATTGCCACGCGCGCCACCTCCTTCCTTGTACACGAGCCACCACCAGGCTCCGCCCCTCATTCAACGTTCAGCTTCATCAAGTCCATACAAATCGTCTCCTTCTCAAAGCCCAGCCGCCTCGCAATCGTCTCGCCGTACTCGAGCGGAAACGTCGCCGGGGCTTTCCACTTCCTGCCCGGGTACCTGGCCATGACAGCGCGCAGCAGCGCCGTCGCCTGTCCCGTGCCCCGCGCCGCCTCCTTCCCTTCCTCGTCAGGCTCGACGACGGCGCCCAACAGGCTAATGGCGTCCTTGCTCTCGTCGTCGGGGTCCGAGACGGCGCACCACGCGCGGCCGAGCCGGAAGCCGCGGCAGCTCTGCGGGCGCGTCGCCAGCGCAAACTGGTGCCACAGCTGCCACGGGAGGTCCGCGGCCGCACCATACCGCCGCAGCAGCCGGAGCACCTCGTCCGGTGCGCGGTCCTCCAGCGCCGCCGCCGGCTCGTCTTCCGCTGCCGCCCCGGCGTCACGCGTCCACCCCGCGAGGGCCCGCACGACGGTGAAGCCGTGGCGCGCGTACAGCTTCGCGGCAGGCGCGTTCTGCGTAATCACCTCGAGCCAGAGGGTCGCGGTGCCGTCGGCGCGCGCGGCGTCCACCACGGCCGCGAGCAGCCGCGAGCCGACGCCCCGTCCGGCCCAGCTCGGCACGACGCCCATGCCGGCCAGGCGCGCGTGCCCGGGCAGGTCGTCCCGGTACGCCATGAGCGCGAAGCCGACGGGCGTGTCGCTCCCGCGCGGGCAGGCGACCAGGCTGCGCGTCTGGGAGATGCAGTGGTGCGGCAGGTACTCGGCGAGCCCGGAGGGTGTCCACACGATGGGGTGGCCAAAGTAGTCGGCAAAGGCCTCGTTGAAGCATGTCGCAATCTGCGCAATGGAAAAGTCGCTGCCGGGCCGGATATCCACGGTGTCTGTCATGTTGGTTTTATGGTGACTAAAACGCGTTGGAGATGTTTGATTTTTGCTTGGTTCGCGCCTCTTTCAAGGCTCTTCTGGTTGGCTTACAGCCCTTTTACTAGTCTTCGTTCGCGGCTCGAGTACCCGTGCGTACGGGTTTTGCTGTTTGGACAAGGGACACGCAAGCTTCTATTCAAGCTTTTGTTCGGTCCACAGTGGACGTAACTAATTGGTGTACTTTTGGTCCTGCGATTCGTCGCATCCTCCGTCTCCTCGCTGACTTGTGTCTACTAGTGACTCACACGGCCAAGGTGATGGCGACGGCGTTCGAGGATGAACTGATTTCACCATCGCAAGTAATTATGGCCATATAACTCATTGGGCATACTGATCCAGCTCTAATTTGCGCAATAGAAGAAATTAAACGTCATGGCTCATGGTCCGTTGGTTCCAAAGTGGACGACGTCATCGGGACCTCCGCGCCATTTACGACTGTCCCTAAAGAGGGATGTAATGAGGCTTTGGTTTCGAGAAAACAGGGTAGATAAATACAAGAAAATCCAAGCACCGTGCTGGCAGTGTACTGATACAGATCCATGCTTATTCAGACTGTCTCGCGGCGCAGGATCTATCAGGCTGATGCAGACATTCAGCGCCAACTCCAAATGGCCTTTGCCGTGCATTGATACAAAAGAATATTCGTTCATTCCTCCCCTGCGCAGTTCCACCTCTTGGCAGTAGAACCTGTCCTCTGTCTCAATGTCCAACGTTGTAGCGAGCCTGATGTTTCATTCAGGCTCGTTCGCTGCCAGCAGTTCTCATTCTGTCATGGATGAAGGCTAAATAGACGAGAACGAATTCAAGTACTTAAATACCTTGAATAAGAATGTGTTGCTTATGCGGTCAATCCACCCACGTGGGTGTGAGCTCGAGACATTCGCGTCGGCAGGGATGGGTAGCCTTCGCCAGGCTCGTTAATCTTTCGCAGCTCTCCACTTCCTATGCCACATCTCGTTCATCTCGGTCTACATCGGGTGGCTACTTCCACCATAGATTGAGTTCTATCTTCCTCGCTGAAAGTCCGGGGTCTCGGCAGTCGGACAACGCCAGCTCGGGTCGTCGGTCTTGACGAGTCTGTGTCACTTCTCGACGAAAGTCTCTGGTCGGATAGTCTTGTCTCGATACAGTCGAGAATATCTACTATTCTCTCTCGTATATTTGATAGAGTCTACGGTATCGCGGAGGTCAAGCCGTGGATTCGCCGTCCGCTTCACGCTTGCATTCCAGTTGTTGAGAAACGTGTACAACCGGGTGGCACTTTCGCATGCACTAATGCACGATTATTAAATACCTTGGTTGCCATTATAAGAAACTCGTTTATTTGAATAAACGAAAAGGCTCGTTTGACTGAGCATTGCAGCCGCGACCTCGCTCCTCGGCTCCAGCCCTCAAACCCCCAAGGATATATGCGCATGGAATCCTCTATAAAAGAGCTGCCACCTCCTCCCTCTCCCATTTCCTCTTCACCAGAGTCCTCCTCAAGCCCCCAAAACTACATATCCTCGGCCATTTCCAACAAAACCATCATGGCTCACTTCGTCACCGCTCTCCTAGCTCTAGCCACGGCCGTATCCGCCTCACCCATGGGCACCACGCCCAACACCTCCAGCATCCTCGCACGCAGCGGCCCCTGCTTCCAGGGCGACTGCCCCGACAACACACAGCACAGCTTCGACATGGTGTACACCGACGAGAGCGGCTACACTTCGGACTACATCCGCATCAACGACTGCCAACAGTGCCTCGCGCACAAGACGGGGGGCGGCGGCGGCGGCTGCTGGGACTTGAAGACCTGCGGCCGCGACCAGACCATCTGCATCGACCCCTCCAACTTTCGCGCCCATCGCATCTGGCATGACAACGGGGACAAGTTTTGCTACGGCCTCGACCACTGGGACCTCGGCGCCTGCGACGGCACAAACATCCGAAACCGCCAGGTCTTCACGCCCATCAACGAGAGTAGGTGCTAAATATGGCGCCCCTTTTATCTTACCAGCTTCGAGGCTGGGTAAGAATCCCTTGTTCCCATAGACTCGGCGCATGGCGTCGGCCGGCATCCCTGACGGAGCAGGCTGTCGATGGCATTGCTCACATCGTTCAACAGTCCAGGGTAGATGAATTCAAATAGGCTTAATGAAGTGAATTTAAATAGTCAAGATGATTTTACTTCACTTTTTCCTGTTTTTCGCTTGTTCCGAGACACATGTACCCTCATCACAAGCCATCATCCATTCTCCAGCTAATCCATCGAAGCCAAATTCGACTTCATCAACTACATCATCTCAAATAAACCCCGTTCAAGACTTGGAGCGGAGGTCATCGGGGCAGTCCGGCTGCACAAACGGGTGCGCCTTCCGAAAGGCCGGATGCTCGCTCAGGTTGGCCGCAATCTTCTTGACCGCGGGGTACGGATCCAGGCTGATGCCGAAGCGCTCGGCACCCCAGACAGCCGGCATCAGGGCCACGTCGGCCACCGTCACGGCGTCGCCGACCGAGTACCTGCCGGCGCTGGCGGCGGCCGTCTCCTCGTACGCCCGGAGGCCGTCGCTGATGAGCTCGACGCTCCACGCCTGCGCGTCGGCGTCGATGGCGCGCAGGCGCTTCAGGATGCGCAGGTTGGTGACGGGCTGGACGTCGCAAGCGATGATGTTGGCGAGCGCGCGGGCGCGGGCGCGTGACACGGCGTCGGCGGGCAGCAGCGGCGCGACCCCCGGGTGCTTCTCGTCGAGGTACTCGAGCGCCGCCATGGACTGCCCGATGCGCAGGTCGCCGTCGGCGTGCGCGACGAGCAGCGGCACCGTCGCCGACGGGTTCAGCGCCCGGTGCGCGGCAGACGCCTGCTCGCCCTGCAGCAGGTTGACATACACGGGCGTGTAGTCGAGGTTCTTGAGGTGCAGCGCGATGCGCAGGCGGCCGGAGCAGGACGAGCGGAAGTAGGTGTAGAGGGTATAGTCGGGCATGGTGGCGGAGAATTGGGTGGTCTTTTTGTCGCAGGTGAGAGATTGTTCAGGGTTGCGCAGACAGAAATGGACTGGAGTTTGTGAGTTTACATCTTGATGATCGGTTTATATTGCTTTGTTGAAGGCGGGGTGGTTCCGTGCCTAGCCGAACTCGAGTTCCGGCCACTCGGAGCTGGTTCCGCGATCTAGTCCTAATCAGGAAAGGGCCTCCGGGTCCGAACCTGAGCCCAATTGCAGCCGACTCCGAAGACAAATAGCTTTGAACTGGATCAAATCAAGCCCGAACGTTGCCTGAACCAAAACTAGGCCTACAGGATCCAATAAGAACGCTTGTACTTGGTTATGCTGCTACTTTCTGCAAATATGGTGAGCGACTATCCGATGTAGGGTACCGACCCGGATATATATCCTATTGAGGGCAAAAGGGTAAACGTGGATCCCGAGGAAAGAACTTTCATAGTTTCTTCTCAAGAATTCCACATGAGAACAATGGAAGTTTATTCCTTCCGAAAAGTGGCTGGGCTTGAACGGTCGTGGGACCCGATGACATGCCGGGGCAAGCCAAAAGGCCAAGCATCTCGGCGCCAAGTGCCAATGACCAAGACAAAGCCTTTGCCGGCGATTCACAGATCAAATGTCTAGGCACCTGTGGATACTGTAGAATTTTCTCTTCAAATGCCGTGTCATTACCGTTGTGGCTTGAAGTTCACACATTTCTTGCGTCTCGGCGCCAAGTGCCAATGACCAAGACACAAGCCATTACCGGCGATTTCACAGATCGCATGTCTAGGCGTGTGTGGATACTATATACATTTTTCTGTCAAACGCCGTCATTACCGAAGTGGCCTGAAGTTTGAACAATGATTCTCCGCAAGTGACGGACGCGGCCCCAGGTCCAGATGAGGGACGGATGCAACATGCTCATCACAAGGGCAAACTGAAGGGGCGGAAGATAGATTACAAAGATAATACGAGTGATTTATTTTAGGAGGAACCCGTATAATATACGGGAGCTATATACGAGTGAAACACTGGTTTTTATTGCGGCCACTTGGCGGAAGTCATGGTCTGAAGTTTGCCCGATTCATGTGAGAATCAGTCTACATCATAAAAAACCAGCCTTTAATGATTATTGATTACTCATAGTCGTTTTACCAGACAATTCTAGGTACGCTCGACTCTGTACCGTGACAGAGCTTACCATATCCTCTCCCTCTTACTTTGGCAATGCGTTTCGCCACTGACCATTCTCCATGCAAGAACCCATTTTTGCGTATAAACTCGACGACCAAGAGCCAATATTGCATTGCAACGGTGACATTTCGGGGGACCCTCCTGCTTTTTGGGTCTCGGGTTTACTAATTCGAGGGCAAGCACGATGATACAAGGCATGCGAGCGGAGCGCAATATACCGGGATAACGTCTTCGAGCACGCCATTTTAGCCTCAGCGACAGCCCGACGGCTGAAGCAGCGAGGTACCTTAATTGCTGAAGTTTTTCCAGCATCGCCTCGCCTAGACCTTGCCAACGCGGCCAGTCCCCGAAACCGCGGAAGCGGACCAATGCTCGCGTGTCAAAATATGAAGATGCGGGATGACCAACGAGGACCATTTCCAATATATCGGATAGTCCGAGTCCTGCGGGGGCTGATGAGCGTGGCTTTTTTTTTTCTTCTCCTTCTCCAATATAATTTCTTGGGACGGCAAGTATCCGAAGCTGACATTTGCATAGAGAGAGGCCGACGGTCCAGCGTCAACTCGCCTGTTGTGCTGGCAGATTTGCCATTTGGAATCGTCGCGTCGTCGCGCCGTCGCACACACCGAGGCTCGATTCGAGTCATGATGTGCGAGAAAAGACAAGGAGGACAAATACCACTCTACACCGGAAAGTCTAGAACTCCGACGGGTGGTATTGTCTTGCCACCATCGTTCTGGCTCTCCTGTGGCCCATCCGGTTTGGCATGCAGAGCTCAACTGTAAAAGCTCGTTTTGGCAACCCAAAATTGGCACAGACAGGGCACAGTCGTAGAAAGCCCAAACATAGAAAGTGCGTATTCCGCGCCAAAAAGACGAAACTGAGTCAATAGTAGTTGACGTGATTTTCCCATGACTGTGAGGCCTAGCAACAGCCAACCCGGCAACCTCTACATAGCGTAGCACTGCCGCCCCCAATCAACACGATCCCCATGCATGCTGGACGGCGTAGCGTGACTATGGCTTGTTCCGCGCTCACAGCATCACCCCCCGGTCAGCTGAGCCCTTTGGGCAAGCCTTGTTCTGTGATGGTCGCGGTCAGGCGGCGGCAGGGGGGAAGATGCAAGATTGGGCTGCGAGATTTTCCCTTAGATCCTGTCTCCGGGCCGTCGCTAGCTGAAGTTTGCGGCATGGGTCCCCCTTTTCTGTCTCCTGCCCCTTCTGCAGCATGACTATGGAGTTCCATGAGGCTGGCCACGAGGTAGCAGTGTGCTTGTGGATGTGGATGATGCTCGTTGCAGTCAGGGCTTATGTATAATTAGTTAGCTTGTTGTGGTTCATTTAGTCGGTGGAATGTGGGAGGCGTAGCGGCTTGCAGGCGTTGGCATGCCGGAATAAACGGTGCACGTCTCTTTCGTTTTACTTGCTCTCTGTGTTTTTCTCATGTGCTAATAATACAATCACTGCCTCTTTATCGCCCGTGTCTCTGCTAGTGGCCGCCGTGGCGCCCTCTAGTCCCCCCCAAGCTGGGAAAAGAGTTTCAAATAGCTTGGAAGGCGTTGTTTTTCGGGGTATGGCGCAAGTTTTGTCATGCCCTTTGACAGATCTCTTTGAGATGAGCAACGATACAAAAAGGCAAAAGTAGCCCAGGGTAGCATCCAAAGAAAGATTCATGCAGGTGGAAACTCTCGACATTGAGTGTTGCATTGACTGGAGCCTCATCCGGCACCACACCTCCGTCTGCTGAAGAGATTACAGTTGTATGTACATACACGGCGATCATCCGACGCTCTGGCTTGGCTCACCTGCAAGATGACAGGGAAAGACGGAGGCAGACGTCCACATGGTGCAGCCGCATTGGTAATAGTTGCCAGTAGCCTCTTATCAGGTTCTCTTCATTCCCCGGTTGACAGGGCTTCCCTCCAGAAATAAATCATAAAATACCAGGATAGAGGCTAAACCAGTTTCGTCCAGAGCAGCTTAAAATGTGGAGAGAAAGCGCCATTCACGGTCCATCTGTCGACGTTGACGCCATCTGGGCTAAATCTTACTCGCTAGATGCCCCGACTCCATCTCCAGCGCGCGGCAGAGGAAGCCCCTCTTTTGAAAAATAAAAAATAATATTTGGCGAGCACGCAATTCAGTGGCTCATTCGACATCATGCCATGGATGTGCCGAGGGCCTTCTTCTCGACCGCGTCGCCGACCGTCCAGTTGGTGAACCCCCCAGCAGCCCGGTCTGTTGCGCCTTCAACGGACGGCCAAGGAGGCCAAGAAGGGAATCTGGATTCGTCGCTTGGCGCGGACGGGAGAAATTCAAACCAGGAAAGCCACCGAGGGACCAAAAAAAAATAAAAAAAATAGATGGCGTCTGCCAGCTGAGTTCCGTTCCCTCCTTTATGCGAAGCTTGCGGCTGGTCCACCCGTGCTCCTCTTAATTGTCTTTTGCGAACCTGGGCGTCTGTCTTGACAAGTGGTCAAACTAGTATATGAACTTGGTCTTGTCCGCCTTTTTTCTTCTTGGCGCGAAGACGCATTCACAAGCTCCTTGGTTTCCGGCTTTCCCACTTTAGTGCTTTGAACTAGCCTCGGGTCCGTCGAAAGACTACCTTTTATTTTCCCGCCTCTAGTCTTTGAAGCGGTTCTTGTTTCTTCTTCTTCTTCTTACTTGTCACAAGTCGATACACCTCTTTGGCAGCTGCGTTACCGACTTGGCTATAATTGCTACCATGGCCGGCATCAAAGCGCGCCTCCAGCGCGCGTTCGACTCGCAGCACCGCGATGCCGACGATGATATCCCCTCCCTCACCAACGCCGATCTCTTCATCGAGCGCGAGCCTACCGTGGCCGAGTTTTTCCAGGAAATCACACCCTCGAGGCGGGCTGTTGGCCTCTACGTATACAACCTGTTTCCCTTTATCCAATGGATTGGCAAATACAACGTCACTTGGCTTGTTGGTGACCTTGTTGCTGGTGCGCCTCACCAAGCTGAAAATGACAGAAAAAAAAGGACATCAAAAACTGACAAATCGCAGGCATCACCGTCGGCGCCGTCGTCGTCCCGCAAAGTATGGCCTACGCCTTGCTTGCCCAGCTCCCCGTCGAATATGGTCTCTACTCGTCCTTCATGGGTGTCCTGATTTACTGGTTCTTTGCCACCTCCAAGGACATCACCATTGGTGTACGCTTCTTCCGCATATCCCCTCAACTCCTCCGCCCAGCTAACAAGCGCGCAGCCCGTCGCCGTCATGTCCCAGGTAACCGGAAACATTGTTCTCCACGCCAAGGATGTCCTGCCGCACGTCGAGGGTCACGTTGTCGCCTCGGCCCTCGCCATCATCTGCGGCGCCATCATCCTCTTCATGGGACTCGCCCGCCTCGGCTGGATCGTCGAGGTCATCCCCCTGCCCGCCATTTGCGCCTTCATGACGGGCTCCGGCGTCAACATCATCGCCGGCCAGGTCTCCAAGCTCATGGGCATCCCCAAGATCAACACCCGCAACGCCCCCTACCGCGTCATCATCGACACCCTCAAGGGGCTGCCGCATTCCAACATTGATGCGGCCCTGGGCCTGACCTCGCTTCTCATGCTCTACCTGATTCGTGGCTTCTGCACCTACATGGCCAAGAAGCAGCCGCACCGGGCCAAGACCTTCTTCTTCATCTCGACCTTGCGCACTGCATTTGTCATTCTCCTCTACACTGCCATTAGTGCCGCCGTCAATGTTCCCCGCCACAAGAAGCACCTCAAGTTTTCTCTCATCAAGGATGTTCCCAGAGGTAAGAGCGAGCGGCTTGTGCATAACCGACCACTCCAGGATTGTCTAACCGTCTTTCCACAGGCTTCCAACATGCTGCCGTCCCTGTTGTCAACTCTGAAATCATCGGCGCCTTTGCTTCGGAACTTCCTGCCGCCATCATTGTCATGCTCATTGAGCATATTTCCATTTCCAAGTCGTTTGGCCGTGTCAACAACTATGTCATCGACCCATCGCAGGAACTTGTCGCCATCGGTGTGAGCAACCTGCTTGGACCTTTTCTCGGAGCCTACCCTGCTACCGGATCCTTCTCCCGCACAGCCATCAAATCCAAGGCCGGTGTACGCACGCCCTTTGCCGGTGTCATCACTGCCATTGTTGTCCTTCTCGCCGTCTACGCTCTGACGACCGTCTTCTACTACATTCCCAACGCTGCGCTGGCTGGTGTCATCATCCACGCTGTCGGCGACGTCATTACTCCTCCCAAGGTGATTCTGCAGTTCTGGCGTGTCTCGCCTCTCGAAGTTGTCATTTTCCTCGCCGGTGTCCTGGTGACCATCTTCACCACCATTGAGAATGGCATTTACACCACAGTCTGCATTTCCTTTGCTGTTGTTATTTGGCGCTTGTTCCTGAGCCGCGGTCGCTTCCTTGGCGTTGCCCGCATCCGCACTGTCGCCACGTCTCCTAACGGCTCCGTGACCGGCCTGGGTACTGAGGACACCCTCGTTGGAGATTCCGAAAAGTCGCTCCGAACTGGTTTCCTGCCACTTGACCACGAAGACGGCTCCAACCCTAGAATCGATCTTCAGCGCCCGTATCCTGGTGTCTACGTGTACCGCTTCGCCGAAGGCTTCAACTACCCCAACGCGACGCGCTACCTGAACCACCTCACGACGACCATTTTCAAGGAGACTCGCAGAACCGATATTGCACTTGTCGGCAAAGTTGGCGTAAGTTGTGGCACGTTGCTTTATTCTATTCAATTGACTAACGATGCGCGATAGGATCGTGCCTGGAACGACCCTACGCCACGTAATGCCCTGAAGGAGCCCGTCGACGACACCCGGCCAATTCTCAAGGCCATTGTCCTTGACTTTTCCACGGTGAACAACATTGATGTCACTGCCGCCCAGGCGCTGATTGACGTGCGCAACCAGCTGGACCGCTACGCTGCCCCGGGTACCGTGGACTGGCACTTTGCGCATATCGAGAACCGCTGGACGAAGCGTGCTCTGGCCGCTGCTGGCTTCGGGTACCGTTCTCCCAAGCCCAAGGCCGGCGAGGGCGCTGGACACTGGAAGACCATCTTCAGCATTGCCGACCTCGGCGGTGCTGACAGCGCGGCCAAGGCTGCGGCCCTGGACGAGAAGACTGGCCGTGGCTCGTATGACCTCGAGAGCAAGGTGGCTCCCGAGTCTGAGATTTGGCCCGCTTCGGGCTCCGAGAACGATGTGCCCAAGAACCCTGGCAGCGCTCGTCTTGTTGCCGTCCACGGCCTGAACCGGCCGTACTTTCACTTTGACTTGCAAGAGGCCGTGGAGGCGGCTGTTGCCAACGCGGAGAGGTGATTGCTGATTGCATCCTCTTGAATTACATTTCCCATTATTGTTTCCCGTCGAGGATTATAAGTTTTGTGTTTCTTTTCTGTTCGGATATCACCATGTTCATTTCTGTCAGTTGGTCTGGAGGGAGTAGGCAAGGTGGCACTCTAGGAGACTACGTACTCGGCATTTTCTAATTTACAATCTATTTATTTGCCCTTTCAGAGGACATTTGAAATACGATTTTCCACTTTGCTAGATTTATTTAAAGCGAATAAAACCGCGGTGAGCCTACCTAGTTCGCAGCGGGTTACTGAGACGGACTCTCGGGTTTAGGGGGATGGGCCTGTAGAGAGCGCTGTGGCGTGGCGGCTACAGCGTGGCAAATTGGTACCTGGTACAGTAGTTAGTAGAGATGTAGGTACAAGGTAGGTACTAAATTTGTACAGTGGTATAGGTAGTGGATATTAGCGGAATCCACGGCATCCGGCAGGGCCGAAGTGTCACGTGCACAGCACGTGCATAGCACTCTTAGGGCTATAAGCTTAGGGCTATAAGCCACCTATATAGAAGCTAAAGAATATATTATTATCTTACTAAAACTCTTATACCTAATAAAATAGTAGTAATACTAGTAGGATTATTAGAGACTATTAAAATTTATTAAATTTAAAGCTCTTATTAATAGTAATATTTATTTTTATTTTTCTTTTTTTCTTACCTATAATTAGCTATAGCTAATATACTAAACACCCCCCCCTCCTTAATTTAATCTATCCTTTCTTAATACTAGTATTATAAGAGTAAATCTAGCTAAGCTAGTTAACTTAAATACTAGCTAAAATATACTAACTTTAATAAACTAAATAGTATATTAATATTAAACTATTATATATAGAAATAAATAAAAGTTATTTAGCTTATATTATAAACTAGTTAGCCTATACTATATATATATAAGATTAAATAGATAAGTAAAAGGAAACTCTTTTTAACTTAGATATAATATATATTATTCTAAAAACCTAAAGAACTTATATAAATATATATATACCTATAAGAAACTATATAGTCTTTATAAAGTAGCTTATCTATTAAGCCTATATAGAGTTATCTTTAATAAGATTTAAACTATATTAAAGAAGAGAATAAATATAGTAAGAAGAGTAGGAAAGGTAAGAAGTAAGAGGATAAAAGGAGGGAAGCTAAACCTATATATTTAGTCTACTAGGCACCTTCTTAATATAAACCTATTCCTATTTAACCCCCCTATTAATATCCTTTTTAAACTTCTTAAATTTTATTACCTAGCTTAGAGAAATTAGCTTATCTTATTATATATAAATAAATACTAAATAGTAAATAACCTTAAATCTTTAAATAAGTTATTAATAAGTAAGCTAGGTAGAGATAAGAAGTATACCCCCTTTAAATAACCCCTAGTTACCTATATAGGATATTAATATACTCTCTTTAATAGCCTTAGTATAGATAGTAGTTATTATAGAACTAACCTTAGTATATTACTATAAAGAGATATTAGTAATATCTATAATAATAATAGTAATAGCTAATAAGCTTAAGCTAGCTAAGCTTTATAAAAATAATATTAGATTCTTTAATCTAGACCTTTAATATTAAGATAAATAGGGGATTAATTAAGTTATAAAAGCTATTAAAAATCTAATATTTATCTATATTTATATATTTATAAACTAGCTTAAGTAATATATTATTAGCTATAGTAAGTAATAGGTTAAAGATATTTAGGTAACCTACTTATATAGTAAGGCTACCTAATAGTATAATAGTTATCTTACTATAATAGACTAGTAACTACTTTATAATATATCTATAGAAGATATCTATATTAATCTTATTAAAAGATAGTAAAAGCTAATAGTAGAAGTTACTAAAGACTTAATAAAAGCTTAATATACTTTAATAGATATATATAATAGCTATAGTATTAAAATATATACCTTATAAGTATTAAAAGATATATAAGCTTATAAATTAGGCTAGTAGGTATAGCTTTAAATAGTATATAACTCTTTTAATTTAATAATCTATAGCCTACTATTACTATTAATACTAAATACTATAGCTTTATAATTTATAATAATATTATAAGAATAATAGGATATAATAAAAGATCTTATAAGGTAGAAGTAGAATAATATACCTTATATACTATATTTAGATTAGGTAGTATAGTACCTATTTAGGCTATATAATATTTATAGCTAGTTTTATAATAAATAGTAAGGATAGTAGTAGTTAAATAGCTATTAGGATAACTAGTAATCCCTACCCTTAGTATATATATAGTAAGGCTAAGGCTATATATAGTAACTATAGAATATAAAGAAGGCCCTATAGGCAACCCCCTTTAGACTATTCTATAGTAATATAAACATCCTACCTTAAGCTAATAGTAGTATATAGAATATAAATAGCTTTAGAAAAAATAATAATAGCTATAATAAGTATAGGAGTAATATATACCCCCTATATTATACTTTATACTAGTTATATAACTAAGGTAGATATAATTAAGGTAGTAGGCTATAGTAAATAATAGGTATATACTAGTAAGATAAAGAAATAAAGGATTAAGGTATAACCTAAAGAGATAACTAGTCTATAAATATACTATTAGAGAAGAAAGAATATAGCCTAATAGATTATTTTAATAATCTATAAGCTATAATAGTATATACCCTAGCTAAGGAGCTAGAAGAGACTATTAATACCTACTTTATTACTACTATATAAGGTATAACTAAGTACTATATATATAGCTAGGCCTTTAGTTCTAATAATAATTTATATAAATATATATATATAGCTTATCTAAATATAGCTACTAGCTTAAATAATTAAGATTTTACTTACTCTAATATTCCCTATAATAACCCTCTTATAAGTATATATATTAAATATAATATAGTACTACTAGATATATATTATATCTTCTAGAATATATCTTCTAAATTATAACTACCCCTATAGATTATTTAAATAATAAATATAAGCCTAATAACCTAGGTACTATAAGGTTCTAGCTAGTTATACCTATATTTCTAAGTCTACCTAGACCTAAATATACTAGGTATACTCTATAATATATATACTAATACTAACTTTAGCACTATATTAATAAATAAGAAATAACTAGCTAAGAACTATCTTAACTTAACCTTACTTATAAAGGTATAACTAATATAACTATATAATATAGGGTAAGCTTAGTATATAGTAATAAAGTATATATACTTTCTACTATATCTTCTTAATATATAGTAGAATAGTATACTAGCTATAATATATTAAATAATTAATATAACTATAATACCTAAGCTAAGAGTTAATATACTATTTAGTATAGATATATTAAGGCTATTATAAATAGATATATTAATTATATAATAAAAGGTAATTTTATATAACTATTAGTATATAAATATACTAATAAGTATATAGGCTTAAGTATAATATAGTATAGTAATAGTTAAAACTAACTTATATATTATTTTAGTATTAAGAGAGACTATATTAGTATTAGTCTAATATAGTATTACTAAAGGTACTAAATAAGTATAGTATATATATAAACCTTAAATAATACCTAGTATTATAGCCTTCTTTACTATAATATAATAAGATATATACTATATACTAGTATATAATAACTTACTAAAGTATATAAAGCTATATAAATATATAAGGCTTAGGTAGCTATACCCCCTATACCTAAAGGCCTAGGTATATACTATTAAACTATAGTAAGCTAACTTAGTAATAAAGCTAATAGTAGTTAGTAAAATAGAAAATAGTAAGTTTACTATAATACTAAAAGCCCTTAAGATAGATATAATTATATATCTTATTAGTATTAATATCTATTATAGTAGCTTATAATAGTAAAATATAGCTCTATATAGGCTAGTTATAAACTATATAGTACTTTTTAAGGATAAAGGCTTTACTATAGTACCCTTAGAGGAATATATATATATATACCTAAAGCTAGGCTAGGAAGAGATACTCTTATATTACTATAAAGTATACTTATAGGGTTCTAAGGAATAGAAGATTATCTAGATAATAGTTAATAATCTTATTACTAAAAGTAAGCTAGAATATATATATATATAGGTACTATTTATATTCCCTATCTTTATTATCTAGTAAGGGTAGGGTAATAAAAGGAAAGGGTATATAGTAATAAATATAAGGCTTTTAAATAAATAAGCCTTAAGTAATATATACTTTATATAATAATAAAATACTATTATAAGTAAGTTAGCCTATACTAAGTATATTACTATTATTAATACTATAGTATTTTACTATTAATAGTAACTATATTTAGACTTAATATAGGTATTTATAATTATTATATATAAAGACTAATATATATTCTAGGTGCTTATTATAGGCTATAAGAATAATAATACTTATATATAGTAGTATATAGATAAGATTCTAAGATAAACTAAAGGCTTATTATACTATAATAATATCTTTATAGGGTTTACTAGCTTTAAAAAGCACTTATATTATATCTAGGAAGTTTTTTAGGCCTTACTATATAATAATATATTAATTAGACTATAGAAATCCTATATTATATATATATTAGTTATTATACTTAGATAAATAGTTAATAGCCTTAGCCTTAGTATAATAGATAATAAGCTAGCTATAGTATATAAGCTTAAATTTCCTATAATACTAAAGGAATTAAAGATACTCTTAGGCTTTACTAGAGCTTTAAGGTATAATATACTATACTATACTATAATTATAGAATTATTATAGGAATATAAGATCTAGCTATAGTAAGCTATAAGAGTATAAAAGACTATAACTATATTACTAGGTAAGGTATATTATATATAATAGGCCTAAGCCTAATAGTAGGCTTATAAAGACTAGGCTAATTAGAATATACTATCCCTTCTAATATAAATAAAGCTATATAGCTTTAAGTAACTAAAGATAGCTTTTATATAGTACTATACCTTAGTATACTTTACTATATATAGGTAGCTATTCTTTAATATTAATATAGTAAAGACTAGTATTAAAGTTATAATATACTATATATAAGAGATAGCCTTAGCTAGTATTACTAAGGATAGAAAAGTAGTAAGCTACCTATTATATATAATAGTTAAACTA